TAAAAAGCTTCAGGTGAATACATTAATGGTTCAGTGGGGTTAAAAAGACTTTCAGCAGTGGGCAAGGGCTGGCTTTTTTCCATAGCCCATAACATCGGCTTTGCCTGGAACGTGTGAAGGAATCATAGGATCAACTGGGCTGGAAAAGCCCTTTTAGCTCCTCCATTCCAACTGTTCCCAGCACTGCCAAGGCTACCACTAACCCATGGCACTGAGGCCTTGCCTCCCCTGCCCTGGGCAGCCTGTTCCAATGCCTGAGCACCCTCTGGGGCAGGAATTGTTCCTCAGCTCCATCTAAACCTGCCCTGGTGCAGCTTGAGGCCGGTTCCTCTTGTCCCATCCCTTGTTCCTTGGGAGCAGAGCCCAGCCCCTCCTGGCTCCATCCTCCTGTCAGACAGTTGGAGGCAGCCATCAGTTCCCCCCTGAGCCTTCTCTTCTCCATCTGAACCCCCCAGGTCCCTCAGCCCATTCCCCATCACACCTGGGCTCCAGGCCCTTCTTCAAAAGCCACTTCAGTCTGGCAGAAAGTGACAGCTTTGGGGCACATCTGGGTCACTGTTTCCCATCATCTCCAAGCTGCTCTGAGTTGCAGCAGGGAAACCTGAGCGAGTGCCACTCTTCTCGCTCTGAAAGGCCTTGTCCTCATTTCCCAGGGATTACGGGAGGAATTAGTCCAGGATTTTTGCCACTGACCTTTCAGAGAGCCAGAACAGATCCGTGTATGGCATGGAACAGATCCATGGCAGCTAGAGGACGATGAAGATGTGCTTCAAACACGTGCTGTGTTGCCATGTTAACTGCGAAGAAGCTGTGCTTTGTACTGAGGTTAAGATTCATTCCAATTCATGATTTCCCACCAGTTTTAGTTACAGTAGTTCAAGATCTGCTGGTAGTTAAAACAAAATGTAAAGCTGAAAGCCAAAAAGAGAAATATTGCATGTATTTTTGATTTTGTCCAGGCCAATGAACAGCATTAAAAGAGGCTGTGTTTGAACAGATACAGCTTTCTAGTTCTTCTTCTGCACCTCTTAGCTCTGGGTTTTTCCTTGTATAAATGCGTTTGTATATATACATCATATACATATGTGTGCGTGTGTGTATATATGCATATAAATGTCACTGTGAGTCTAAAAGGCAAAGTATGCCCATATTCTTCCTGTGTGATCTTGAAGGGTGGTTTTCACCCTTTTATCCATCCTGACAGATGCAAAGCAAGCCCTGGATACACACGGGAGGTCCAAAGTCCTCTCCAAATTCCTGTTCATGGTTAGGAAAACCCGTGTTGGTTGGAGCTTGCTGCGAGTTTGTCATGAAACATTTCTGATGCTACAAGGGTAGATTTTACACAGCTCTTCACTGTCTTGTGGTGTGAGCGGGTATTTTATCACTGTTATGCCCCGTTTGTCCTGAGTGTTACAGTGCGTATTCCCGGGGCAGACTGTGCTATGGAAGTAGTACCTTTGTACAGGCAATAGTTGTTTCTTAACATGTGAATGTGGTGAGCCAGTCCACTTGTAGCATGGGGGGTGTCTGTGTACGCACAACTCCTGTCCACTCCGGCTTAGCACAGAAAGCTGGGTAAAGCCCATGAGGTCTTGGAGGCTCTGTGGAGAAGGACGGGGTTTGTATCGGCCTCCTGCAGTCCCAGGGTTTCTTTTCATCACAGGGTCTAACACATCTTTCTTCATCTTTTGTCTCAGTTCAGCCGTTCTCCTACAACCTGGAGTCATTCAGTGTTACTGCCATTGAGTTTGCTCCCGTTTGCTGTGGTTTGGGTTATTCAGTCAGCTCCTGCTGCCGGGGCTGGTAATTCTGCCTCTCATGCCGTGAGCAGCACAATGCCCGCAATCCCAGCGTTACACAGCACTTTTCACCAGCATGCACAGAACCTCTGACAAAAGGGATTCAGTTTCATCTCGCCGCCTTTCGTGATGTAAAGCATAAGGAATTGAAGGGACCTCTCCTCTGACATCAAGTGAGCTGTACACAGAGAAGCTCTGCAGCTTTGCCAAAATGCCTTTGAGTTTCTGTATTTTGCTGGCATAGTTTGGGCCCATCTCAGTGCTCAGTGGCAGGCAGGAACCGGGGTTTGCTTTTTCCTACCAGTGCAGGAGACGAAATCCCCCCTCTGGACCATGGCTCCTGGTTAAATGTGAGTGTTTGACCCATGTTTCCCATGAAGAAGGATGGTGCCTCAGGTTCTGTGAGCTGCTATTCAGAGTTGGAGGCTGAAGCGGTATACACAGGCATTAGTTTCCTTCCAGGATTTCATATGTGGTGTTTTTATCCTGATTGGAGCCAGAGGCTAACACTGATCTGTCATTGCAATAGTTTTCTATCTGCTTTTCTCTATGAATTTGTCCAGTGTAAACTTCTAACGTCTACAGAATATCTGAAGGCAAAAACATCTGCAGTTTTATTACACGCTGGTTAAAGAAATATCACCTTTTGTTCTGACCTGATGGATTCACTTGATTTCCTTCAGCACTCTCCTGTCTGCTCTACCAGCCAGTGCATTAAATATGTGACTGATTTGAAAGGTGCAGACTAATTCAGGGTATAAAAATCAGAGTTTTTAACCAAGAATTTGGGGTTTGCTCCTCCGGGTGTTCAGTACCGTTTCGTTCCTTCTGGAGCCAAGTTTGAACTGAGATTCATGCTTTCTGTTGGAAGTGCAATTGCCGAAGCTTGGAAGTACTGCTATTGCCTAGTTCACATCAATAGCAGGAGTTGTTCCAGGGGAAATCAGTCATGGGAAGTGGTTAGGGTAGCTTGAAGGAAGAAGTGGAGAAGTTATTCATCATTCAGTAACACTGAGAGGGTGGTTGCTGTAGAAACCTCTTCCAGGTCTAGCAAATGCCAGGAATCAGACTGAACCCACTGCAGTGCTATAGATCAGATTGAAGATGCTGCATGCACAGGGAGCCTGGAGGCCCTTTCTGTAGACACTGAAGATTTCGTAGCCTTCTGGTGATGTGGGGAGCAGCCACTACCATCACCCTCACCGTCATCCCCCCGTGCAGAGGCTGCTGCACAGTCACCATCACCCCATGCACATTCACCAGGACCACTTCATCCATCACAGCATGGTCCTGGTACTTTTCTCCAGGTCTTGTACCTGTAACTTTTTTCAGCCTGTATCAGAAAGCAGCAAAAAGAGAGAAGTAGGGAGGGATAAAGTGTGACTGAATGTGTTTTAGCCTGGGCTGACAGCAAAAGCCTGGGGCTGTACAGGGAGTTAGGTCCTGCTTGAAGGAGATCAGGCTTGTTCTTCCCTGGAGGCATCATTAAGGACCCAGCAGTTCAGAGGTGTGCTTTGTTGGAGCTCTGGGCTCATTTACAGGCTGATGCCAACGAAGCCCTAAGCTATTGCAAAGTGTGAACAAGAGCAGGACGTGCAGAATTTGATCATAGCTTCATAAAGGGTCTGAGTCATCGTTTAACCAAGTTCAATTCATTTGCACAGCAGAGGTGCCCTTTAAAGTAAAGATGCTCCAGACACAAAGTGCTTTACTTAGTTCCCTTTGATAAGCACCTCTTACTTGCTACATTGAATTTCAGTCCACTTACAGTCCATCTCGTAGGAGTGGTACAAACTTGCTGACATAAATGGTTCATCTCCCAGGAGCGGAGGTCTTGTTATGTGGGTTTTGTGAGTTACTTAGCGCATCTCCTGTAGGTTTCCCACTGGTAAAATGAGCTAATGTGTCTGTCTCGTTCTGCCATGCTCTGTGTGGAGGATTCCTGGGCTGCGCTTGGACAGTTTGTAATGGCTTGCTCTGGTTCGGTTCATCTTGGCTTTTGCATGTGAGGTGTCCTGGCTGTCTCTTGGCTGGGTAATCTGCTTCAAAATGTGCTTTCTGAGACTAACATTTCTCCCTTTCCATTCACAAGCAGTAGGATGGAGCTGCCTTGTGCTTAATATGACATTGATTCTGTAGACTGATGTTTCTGATCCTTGGGGTGAACTTTGAGATGGCTTTAGATACCCATGTTTGGAATGAAGACACAAGAGTATCTCAGTATTCAACTATCATGAAACCTCTCATGCTTTCAGCTGCTATAGATACTGTTGATTTGTTTTGATAGAGCTTGGCAGGCCATGTTATTGATCTCACACAGCCCACTCTGAGCATTAACATGGGAGTATCATTCACAAATCAATTTTCTCTGTGCTTTGATTTAAATACCAGCGCCCCTGGAGGATTTTTCTGGGTCACTTTTATTCTCCAGCTGTACTTCAGCTCTGAGTAAACCGAGTAATGATGAATGCAGGCACCCAAATTAGCTGCCTGCCAGCTGCTGTCAGAGGTGGCTATCTGCTCTGTTCAGTTTGCTGGCGCACTTGTTTCTGTCAAGGATAACACTCAGCTCTGTCTGCGTTCAAAGCAGCTTCCAGATTGCAGCCGCTCAGTCCCAGCTGCTCTGTAAGGAGGCGACTATTCCTCCGTTATTAAGGCACGCTGCCTAGGGGGAATATTTAAGGTAAAGTACTGTCATTTAGCTAGTTGTTAGAAAAACCTGGCTGCTGCCTTCCTCCTCAGCAGACAGGAACTGAGAGGTACGTATCAGGAAAGCTTTAGCAAGGCTCTGGGTGAACCTAATGCCACAGAACACTGTGCAAGCCATTATAAGGATGTGGTGAGGTAAATTAATGTAATATTTGATTTTGTACTGATGTGGCTGAAAGACGAGGAGGGGAGCAGAGTTGGAACGGTCACTTGGAGGCACTGCCAAATTAATGTTCGTTTGCCTTTAGCTACTGCTCGTGGAAAACAGATGTGTGGGAACTGGGTATGGGTTTATGGAGTGTCGGGAGCCAGGGGCTGCCTGGAGAGGGGCCCTGCAAGAGGTTTCCTTGTCCTCTCCTCATGCACGTGCCCCTTGCTGGTATCGTAGGGTTAAAGTATCCTGCAGGTTTCTCAGAAATGATGGCCTGGCTTCCCAGATTATTTCCTTTCCTTTTTTTTCCTTTCATTTCTTTTCTCTCTATGTTTCAGATTATGCTTGGCCTTTGCCTAAACAGTTGTGCCCTATATGGATTTCCCTAGATGTGCTCTTTTCAACTGCATCTATTATGCATCTCTGTGCCATCTCTCTTGATCGGTATGTAGCAATACGCAATCCCATTGAGCACAGCCGCTTCAATTCCCGCACCAAGGCTATTATGAAAATTGCTGCAGTTTGGACCATATCCATAGGTAAGCAATGCGGCTCACGATCTTCACCGTGTCGTAATGAATGATAGTGTTCCTCCAATTTTCATTTAGGGTTTTTAAGAGGAGACTCAAATTAATTTACCTGGCCTGCATGCCTGAATGTAAGAGATGATTACTGGGAAACACAAGTCTTTCATTGCAGTTGGTCAGCAACCAAAGAAGTAGTAGTCATTTTTCGGAACCTCATCACTTTTGATGCTGAAGCATTGCTGCTGTGTTCATAGCAATATGCCGATACGACAGACAAATGGTATCCTATAACTGCTAAGTAACTAAAGCAGAAAATAGCATTAGCAAAGCCTATGGAAGGAAAACCCAGCCGGTACAAATGACATCTACAGCGCAGTTGCTGCAGATAACTCACTCAAACTGTGGCAGTGGTTCAAGTGAAGTAGCGCAAAATGAAGGCAGGGTAAGAGAGAGGGGTTTACTGCTCTTGTGCAGGCTTTGGAGCTTGTGTTACACTCTGCCACAGCAGGATTGCTGCTAGTACTGAGCTGGCAAACTTGAAGTCATAGTAAATGAGGAGTAGACATAAAAGAAGGCACTTTTGTATCACTTTGCTAAAAAGCGATAAATAAAGCAGCAGTAAAATAAGGGAAGAGGCAAAATGATAGCCAGATGTTTCTGTAATGTCAGGAATTATGTGAAGGAAAGCAATTTGGGGGGGAATTCTTTAAGTGCTCTTTATAAAAGAGACGTTTGAGGCAGGGTCAGAAGTGTCTGACCGCTTCCCTCTGCCATACTGCCTTTTTTGCTTGAATAAAGTGCAGTCTTACAGAGATTTCATAGAGTCACAGAGCCCCAGCCCAGTTTGTGTTGAAGGGACCTCAAAGCTCCTCCAGCTCCAACCCCTGTCACAGGCAGGGACCCCTTCCACTGGAGCAGCTTGCTCCAAGCCCCTGTGTCCAACCTGGCCTTGAGCACTGCCAGGGATGGGGCAGCCACAGCTTCTCTGGGCACCCTGTGCCAGCGCCTCAGCACCCTCACAGGGAAGAGCTTCTGCCTAAGAGCTCAGCTCAGCCTCCCCTCGGGCAGGTTCAAGCCATTCCCCTTGCCCTGTCCCTACATCCCTTGTCCCAAGCCCCTCTCCAGGTTTCCTGCAGCCCCTTTAGGCACTGGAGCTGCTCTAAGGTCTCCCCTTCAGGAGCCTTCTCTTCTCCAGGCTGCCCCAGCCCAGCTCTCTCAGCCTGGCTCCAGAGCAGAGCTGCTCCAGCCCTCGCAGCATCTCCATGGCCTCCTCTGGCCTCGCTCCAACAGCTCCACGTCCCTCTTGTGCTGCTGCCCCAGAGCTGGACACAGCTTTCCAGGTGGACCCAATGAAACCCCACACAGTTTTCCAGAGGATGGAACAGGTTAAGTGAATTCATCCTTGTTTCAGTATTAAATATCACAAAAGATTTGTACATTCCTGTGCATGATCAAATATCAAATTCAGAGCAAAACTGAAGTGCAGGCTGCTCAGTTTGCATTTCCTAAATCCTACTTCAGCTGGAATGAAGAAACTTCAATGCACCCCATGTAAAGAATTCTGAATTTGGTTCCTGAATCAGAATTTTAAAAAGGAAGTAAAAAGCATGTAATTTATCTTAATTTAGTCGCTTTTGCGTTCTCTTTTTCTGGAATGTTAATGCTGACAGCAAAATATATAATAGAGGTTCTTTGCTCACTGAGCTATAAATTTGGCAGGTTGCACAAGCCTAAACCTATGATTAGGTTTTTAAGCAGGGGAACATAACAGAGCCCTCCCGTCTGTTGACAATTACTTTATGAATGGGTCTTTCCAAAGTCCTCTCTGTTCCAGATTCAAGTCCATCACTGCCAGTTGCCCTGTGCTTAGCAAATGTGGCCCGAGCAAGGTTTTCCTGTGTGCAGTTAAAGTGGGTGCTGTGAAGCTTTGAGGTTGGTAGCGCTGTACTGAGGCTGGCAATACAACACGGTGGAAAATGAAAATCAGTGGTAGATATGAGGTGGCAGAAATTGGTGTTGTTTCAAGACTTCAGCCTTTGCACAGCTCCGAGTGCAGAGATGTTCACGAGTGATAGGTGAAGCTGACCATCCCACCGCACTGCCTGTATCCCTCTGTGAGGAAGGTGGCTCTGGGGCACCCTGGCCAAGCGAGGAGATCCCTGTGCAGCTCCCAGCAGGAGTGATGAGGAGCGGGTCAGACTCTAATGCACACTGTGACACAGGAGAAGGTGTTAACTGGGTGACAGCAATGTAAGAGAATGACTGCTTTGGCAATGTGACTGGAGGGATGTCAGTGATGTGGAAGGGTGCGCTCATGTTGCTTCCAATGGGAATACAAGCGAAGCCCTTGAATCCTGACCCTCTCTCTGGTGGCCTGCACTGCAGCCTGCTGGTGCAAAAGGGGTTTTCCTCTGCTTCCCAGAAAGTCCAAGATTTGGTAATTTCCTAGAGAGCACCGGAATGACACAGGCTGCCAATTTCCCAGCTCACAGCTTTACATCCTTAGTAACGGTGTCAGTTCCATTCACTTGGTAAGTGACTGGGACAGGGCCATCCTTTAACTTCTGGTGCTTGGATCAGTGCCATAAGGAGACCCTTTTTTTGTTTGAAAACAGAACAAGTAACCAGACAAAGGAATTGCTCTGTTGAACTCTGGTAATATGATGATATGTGCTGGGTTAAAATGGGAGGTTTTTCTCTTCATCCTCTCGCTGGCCCTCTAATAACATTATCATTTTGATTGAAGGTAGATATTAAACTTTAAAAAGGAATTTTACATCCCTGTTGAACTTTCATACTACATTGTTTTATTGAGGAGGTCTATTTATAGAAGTCCGAAAGACCCATGTTGCAAGGATCAGTAAGTGCTCATCGTAGATCCAGTGATCTTATGTCTAACAGGGGTTTGCTGCTGTTCCTCTCTCACATACACTGAGCAGCCCCATGCCTGCAAGCTGTCCTAATGATGTCCTTAAAGAGCCTTCAGGTATCAGTTAAGCCTTCCCCTATCTCACTCAGGATAATCCTAGTGGGAAAGGACACTCAGTTTGGGGAACATGCTTGGAGTGACCCCACTGATATTAAAAGGAATTGTAGCCTTCTTACAGGCTAAGAGCAGCTGGTGCACGGAGGTGAAGGGGGATGGAGTTAACTCACGTACCCTCCCTCAGGCTGTGGGTTTAGTCATATGCCCTAAGAGGGGCATCTTCTTCCCCAGAGGGTGCTCAGGCATTGGAACAGGCTGCCCAGGGCAGGGCTGCAGTCACCATCCCTGCCAGTGTTAACACACCATGGAGATGAGGCCTCAGTGCCATGGGTTAGGGGTGGCCTTGACAGGGCTGGGAAACAGTGGGACTGGAGGAGCTGAAAGGGCTTTCCCAACCCGGTTTATTCTGTCATGCTATGATGGTTCTCCCTAGCCCATCAGCAGGAGTTACCAGGGTGAGGAAGATCCCAGCAGTTGGTAACGAGCTGAGCTTGTAGCAAGGGAGCTACCTTGGGATTTCAGGCAAAGGAGCTGGATCAGTTTGGGTTTGTCATCAGGTGCCAGTGAAGGGTTCTGCCTGGAGCAGCAGCAGATGGTGATAACCTGTGCAGTGTCTTCACACAAGATGAATGGACCACCCCATCTGGTCCCAGGGGCAAGCGAGATGCCGGGATCTCCTGTCTGAGGTCACTGGTACTGAGCATCATCAGCACAGGCCTGGGGAAGCCCAGCCCTGGCACCAGGTACACAGTGAGCAGGAGCCCCATTGCCTTTGTTCAGATGCACTGCTGGAAACACACGGCTGAGCAAAGCAGGAGTGATTTAGCAAAATGCAAGGGCAGGGGGGAAATCATTTATTTCTTCTGTCTTTTAGTGGCATTTGCTGATTTCCCATCTGGGCTCAGCCTGCTCAGTGCTCTCGCAAGGTTTAAGTAAAGGTCAGCCACTCGTGCAGGCAGAGCCAGTAATTACATTTATCTGTTTGCAGTTGTGCTCATTGCAGGGCAGGGAGATCCGTCAAAGTTCAGCTCCCTTTTATGTCTGACTTTAAACCAAGACAAGGCTGGCACTGTTGTTTTATTAGAACAGTCAGATAAAAACAGACCTAATGCAGCCCTGAAGGTGCATGGTTGTTGTATTAGCACATGAAATCACTGCCATTAGGCTGCTGGCATACATGGAGCAAATGGAATTGGGGGGGTTTGAACACTTGAAATGCCCACGTTCTTCAGTTTGCCTCTGAAGAGCTCTGCTGCTTTCACAGTGAGGAAACCACTGTCTGTTGGGGTTTACTTCTTGCTGTTTGTTTGTTATCATCAGAGGAACCTGCAGGCACTTTGTGAGATGCTTCTGCTGCCAAACCAAGCAGGTTTGGGTTAGTTTTCCCTTTTCAGAGAGGACTAGGGGAGCCAGTTCCTATTTCCTCTCTCAGACCTTATGCTAATGCACAGTTACAGCAGCTGCTGACATTCGGGTGAGTGTCTCCAAGTCGCAACCCACATCCATTTTGTATAATAGTAAATCTGAGGTTAAAGATCTGGATGTAAACACAGTGGTCCATCAGCAGAGCCTTTGCAAGGACCACAGCAGGCTTTGAATCCAGAGACTCTGAGAGGTGGTCCCAGCATTCCCAAGCTCATGTACCTGCAGCAAAATACGGTCCCTCTTGTGTTCAGCCCTGAGAATCCCACACGTGGAAAGACAGAATAAATCCATACGCAGACCTCTGTTTTTTAGCGAAGTGGTTGTCACTGGAGGAAATAAAATAACCTCTTTTATAAGAATGTTGTGAGAAAGAATGGAAATTACTTCCTTTTGCAGTGGAAATAATCATGAAAGGCTCCATCTTTCCAGTAATTCCTAGCAGTCTATGGGCTTTCACAGAAGAAAACAAGAGATAAACACAAAAACATTACTGGTTTTGATCCAATCTAAACTCTGTAAATGACAATTTGGACTTTTTAGCCAGCTTTTTCTCTGGAGCAAGCAAGTGAATGTTTTACAAAGCTGTATTTGCAGTCATTTGGGTTTTGTTTTATTAATTGAGAGTCTGTGAAGAGCATCTGTTTCTCTGTGTCCGCAGCATCATCTCAGCCCCATTTGGCGAACCATTCTGCTGGCTTAAGGACATCTTTAAAGCTGACAAGGAGCAGATAGGATAACAGCTGTAATTGGATTTGTAATCTGGAAGGATATCTCTCTCTGACTTGCTTCCTGCTGCTCTGTCAGACAGAAGCTAAAGGAGGGGAGAAGAGAAGAATTCATATTCATCTTCTCCCTTGTGAAGTGCTGTGGTGAAAAGGGATGTTCTGCCCAAGCTGCTGCCTGGCAGAAGGGTGCACAGAGCTCCCAGTGTTGAGTCTAGCAGGGACCTGGTCCATGTCTTTCTGGCTAGTGGTGGCCGCTTGTCTTTTCTTCCTGGGGCAAAGCCAATTCCTCTGGGCACTGCTCAAGCATCAGCCAAGGTGATCAGGTTTGCTCTGGAGAGCAGAGAGTGATGTGCAATCAGTTCACAAGACTTTTACCTTGGAAGCCTTTGGAACAAACCCGCCTCTGTGGGAATTCCTTGCCTCCTTGGTTTGAAAGGGTCATTTGACACAACTGGAAGACACCTCTGAGGCTGAACACCTCAGCTCAGTACCCGAGTTGTGTTTCGAACAGTGACAAGCACAGTGTTAGTACTGTGCGTTGCTTGGCTCAAGTGGAGTTGAATGCCTTCTCCATACTCATTCAAAGAGCTGAACTCAAGTAAGGCACCCATTCATGCTTACCTGTGGCCAAGCACTATGATGAGTGCAGCATGTACTGATCAAGGCAACCCAACTGAAATCACAGGCAGGGCGTGAGCTGTGCCTGCACCAGGTATTTGTACATTGAGGAGTGTGGCAGTAGCAGTGTTGCAGTAATCCCCCATAAAGGAAGTCCCTGTGGGGTGTCTGGGGCCTTCCACACTTCACTTCTCACTCCTGGGGTGGTGTAGGGTTAGTCCCCATTGCCCAAGGTGTGTAACAGACACAGCTCCCTCCAGGGCTGGACTGTGGAGTGGGCGAGTGATAAATCACAAAGAATGAGTTGCAGAGGAGAAGTGTGAGGCAGAAGAAAGCATTTGAGATGAGAGCAATGCGCCCCATTGAGCAGTGCTGGAGGTGAGCTAGCAGCCTGCTGAATGTGTGTCGGCAGCTCCTCCAAGGGCATCTTTCTTCCTACTGCTGTTAGTGATGGGGTTTTCCTGGGCTGGAGGAAGGAGCAAAGACCTCATGCTTTCTCTCTTCTGTGCTTTCTCAGTTTGAGATCCCACTTCACTATGAGAGAGGTAGAGGTCACTTTTCCATTACAGCAGCTACCTGCCATCAGTGCTGAGGTGTGTCATGCTCATGCAGAGTTGCAGGCTGCTGGCAGTGCTCTTGGTTTGTGTATTCATCATATCCCAGAACTAGGTTATTCTTCCCAAATGTACTTTATGTGTCTGACCATGAAGATGTCCTGAAACCTCATTTGTTTTCCCTTGGCTAAAGCAATACTACTAAATCCAGTAATGACTAGGTTCATGAATGAACCTTTATTCATTTTGGAGTCTTATGTGAAAGGATATATGTTATAGATGGCTCTAAAGCATAAAACGGTCCATGGAAATACAATCCCAGTGTAATGCCATCGGCCTAATTCGGATTTCTTTGCAAGAAGACTGCTCTGTCCACCCCCCACCACCTCCCGAATGCCTGGGGTTTGATGGAGCCAAGGCGGTGCAAAGATGTCTTTAACGATAAAGAGTCAATGGCTTGATGAGAGGAAGGTTATTGCAGTCACAGGATTTGGCACAGACAAGGTAATGGGGGTTAATGTATCAGAAAGGAGGGAACTGCCTCGCCAAGGTTAAGCTGACAAGGATTAGCACTCAGAGGGAAAACCCTGGAATTATCACTAGAGCTAAGGAACACATCCTGTGACCACAGGCGGCATTTAGAATCATTATTTTTCAGTAGACATTCCTTCACTAGATTACTGGCAAATTGTAATTTTATGGTAATGAGCATTTGCAGATGTGTTTCCTCAGAATCCTGGAAAACACTTAGCTGGAATGGAAGAGTGCCCTGGTTAATCTCTTTAACATGTGATTCTTTCTACTTAGAAATCCAGAGTCCCACAGGATTAGTTATAGGACCTGTGCTGTTCACAGCAACCCCCAGGAAGAGCAATCCAGGCACAACAGCGGTCTCAGCATTGGCTATTGCTTGGGTGAAGAAGCTAAGGAAGGACATGGCCAGCCCTGCAGCTGTGCCTGTGGGGTGAATGCTCATGGACAGCTGGGTGGCCGGAGGGGAGGAAGGGCAGCCCGAAGGACCTTCTGCTGCTCTGGCTGCTGGGATGTGCAGGTCTGTTTGCTTCTGTACGAGCACAGAGAGGAATTTGGAAAGAAATAAAGAGCATCAAAGGCACAGAATGAGTTTGGCACGAGGAGAGCGAGTAAATAGAGAGCAGCATTCTTCAGCTCCTCTGACAGAGGTGTCAGACAGCAGGGATGATGAAGGTCTATAAAATCACTGCGAAGGTGGAAAAGGAGATGGGAGAGTGATTATTCACCGTTTCTCACAGTAGAGGAAGTAAGGGGAGTCAAAGGAAATTATCAGACAGCAAATTTGAGATGAGCAACCAATACTTTGCTCACATGGCAAACAGGCCGTGGAGCCGAATGCTGCTGAGCACAGTGGGTTATGAATGAAATCAAGGATCCCCACAAAACAGCTCTCTCAAAGGTTGTTTTACAGACAAGGTGTGGACGCAGCTTGTTGCTGTGCAATCGTCTAAGCTGTAATGCTGACAACTGCCCCATCCTGTACTATGGCCCTAAGCTTCTGGTACCCACCAAAGACATGAGAGATAAACCCACGACAGTATCACTAGACCAGGGCCACCATGTCTTTTCCATGTTCACCCATGTGCATAGGTTGTGGTATTCCAGAATATGTTGTTGCTTTTGCTGGATTTGGCTGGGTCTAGACAGATTTGTTTGGAAGGTCTCGGGTCTGCCATTGTCTGCGACTGAGCCAGGGCAGAGTGGGATCCAGTACTCTGGCATCTCTTCTTTCTGTCCCCGCACTAAATTGGTGATGACTTTCACAAGGTAGAATAGAAGAAGAGTACAGCTATGTATGCCTTAGAGAAAAAGAGTGTTGGAGGGCAGTAAGTAAATGCATCTGAATTAGAGGTATTCAAAATGCTCTCATTCCTTCACTCTGTGAGGACCAAGTCACTGGCTAGCTGTGGGTGCAGGCAGCTATGTGCAGTCCTGCTCTGGGCTTGACATGCTGTCTGCTCTGCCCATGTGCCAAATAGCACAGACACACAGTGAGGGACCCTCCATCCAGGCCTCCTGATGTCCTGAAATCCTGGACAAACAAACTGTGCTGGGTGATCCTAGAGAGGAAAAGGGATCCAACATGTTCTTAATCTCCTTTGTCTGCGATGAAGTCCATGACTGTAAGAAGCACTGTGCCACCAGGATACAAGGGAAACTGCCTTGGCAAGTGCAGTGATTCCCAAGGCTTATTAGACTGTTTAGTGCTTAGGAGCAGCTGGAAGCTGTGCTCTAGGTGTTGATGTAATCGAGTCATTTAAAGTTTCCTTTCTTTTCAGCCAGAGGGTTTATCGCTGGGGTTCTGATTTCAGACCATCACGTCACTGGAGCTGTTTTAATTACACCCCTTCTACTCTCACTTTGCCCATCCCAGTTCTTGGCCCTGTATTCAAGATAGAGGGATAGGAATCAGGCAGATGTGTGCCACAGCCTTTTCCTTCAGCTATGTAATTGCCTCTGAGAATGCAAGCTGTGCCTGTGGTACCTCTCAGTTTCACACTGCTCGTGGATGAAATGCCTGGGCAGGCAGAGCTTGCAGGGACCACTGCCTGCCTGCACCTAGATCATCAGTGCATAAGGACCCAGGAAGCCAGGAGCTTTTCTTCCATGTGTCCATGATGCCCTGGCAGAAGTGGCCATTTTTCTGTCAGGTTTATTTTCATTTCTTCAAGAAACGTGCTCCTAAACCTCAGTAGCTGGGGTTCTTCTGCATTTTGGTATTTTTTCCTCTTTAAAATTTGCTGTTATCCACCCTATGTCAGTGATTTCAAAACCTCCCCAATCTGGCAGGCGTGGAGTGGCCAGCTGGAACAGAGCAGGGTAATGACTGCAATTAATGCTGGAAAAGGACTTGATAAAGGAGAGATGCTGCATTCACTGTGCCAGCTGCGGAGCACAGCAAAGCTGCAGTTGATCCCAGTGGAGGGTGTTCATGTCCTGGAGCTGCATTCCCAGGAGTTGGTACATGAGGTTTTCCCTTCCATGTGGGAGTAGTAGCTTCTCTTTTGGACAGGTTGAGGCAGTGGGCTAAATGCATGCAGGACCCACATCATTTCTGCTGCGTCTTTGGGGCCCTGTCCATCCAGGTAACAGTCTCTTGTTTTGGTCTCTTTCTTCTAGGGATATCTATGCCCATTCCAGTCATTGGTTTGCAGGATGACTCCAGGGTGTTTGTAAATGGGACCTGTGTCCTCAATGACGAGAACTTTGTCCTCATTGGATCCTTCATGGCGTTCTTCATCCCTCTCATCATCATGGTGATCACGTACTGCCTGACTGTCCAGGTGCTGCAGAGACAGGCAACGGTGTTCATGTGTGGGGAGGTGCCCAAGCAGAGGAGGAGCAGCGTAAACTGCCTCAAGAAGGAAAACAACGCAGAGAACATTTCAATGCTTCACAATCACGAGGGGGCATCTCACTTGAACTCTCCTGTAAGTAAGGAGGCCGTGCTCTTTCGGAAAGGAACTATGCAGTCCATCAACAACGAGCGAAGAGCCTCCAAGGTCCTGGGCATCGTCTTCTTTTTGTTCCTTATCATGTGGTGCCCATTTTTCATCACTAATGTCATGTCTGTCCTTTGCAAGGAAGCCTGCGACAGAGACCTGCTGAGTGAACTCCTTGATGTGTTTGTCTGGGTGGGGTATGTGTGCTCTGGGGTCAATCCCCTCGTATACACACTCTTCAACAAGACGTACCGCAGGGCTTTTTCCAATTACATCCGCTGCCTATACAAGACCAGTAAAAAGTCAGCCCTGCGACAGAACCAGTGTCTGAATGTGGCTTCAACAGCTTTATATGGCAAAGATCTGACTTTAACTAGTTATCGAAATGGCAATGAACTCAATAGCATGGTACTAGATGATGCTGAGGAGGGCCTGGAAATGCAGCCAGGGACTTCAGAGCTCTCCATAAACAGCTGTAATGTTATAAGTGAAAGAGTGAGCTGTGTGTAGAGGTGCTCACACAGCCTTTTGCTGCGGGTTATCCGTAGCCCAAATATATTGTATAAAAATGTAAGTGTTGGTCAAAGGACCATGTAAATATTGCATTCTGAACAAAGCTTTTCTTTTTTTTTTAAAGAAAAAGGAGTTGTCTTTCTAGTCCAGTACTTAAGATCATATATATGAGTATATATGCAGTGAAGTTTAAGGTTCTATATTTACTGTTAATACTAGATCAGAACTCTTAGTTACTTTGCATATGTCATGGACAAAATGTTTGAATTCTTCTTCCAGTGCATGAACAAAAATGCTGAATATTTATCTCAGGTGGCATTTGCTGGAGTCCAGAATGGCACGTTAATAGTTATATATCAAATACATGCTATTAGACTTGGTCAGTAGAACTTTCTTTTTCAAGTTGACAGTAAATATATACTTTAAATCCTCACCCCTATTTGTGCCGTGTAAAGACTGTACAGAAACCTGGCAGAGAGACATATGGAAGCATAGGGGATGTGCAGGCACTGGCCAGACTTGGCCTGTTACGGGTAGTGGCTTGCTGCCATACTGGGGCAGTCCTGCCCTGCAAGGGCCCTCTGTTGGGTTTTGACACCCCCTCCCATCCTGCTGTTTTCTGCCTGTTCCCCAGGAGGCTCCAGCTCCCCTAAGGAAGGTGGGGAATGAAGTTCTGGTGTGGGTTTGCGATCCTGACTGGGGTCACTTGCACACTTGGAGAAGCAGCATGAGAAACAGAGCGAGCCCCAGTTCTGTGCTTCAGGCATTTCAGAGATGGAGGGCCTTGGATTTATAAAAAGCCCTCCTTTGGTCTTACACCTAATCATCAGCTCTGGGATAGAGCAAGATGTGCTCAGTGTGGGTAGCACAGATTGCTTGGATGATCAGGGTCTTGTTCGACCTGGAGAAGAGCATTCTGGCTTTGTCAGAGCTCTCGTCTTCTCGGTCCTCACATCTGTTTGTTCCTTAGCTTCTTTAGCATTTGCTTTGATTTTTCAGCATCCTGGGTCTTGCAGTGCTAGTGGTAAAACTGCTTTGGGTGTAGAGCAGAAGCTGCTGCACATGTGGAGCTGGTTGGGGTCGGGCTGTGAGGTGCAGGATGTGCCTACCTGAGCGATGCTGGGAGAGAGACATGAACGAGGGTCCCTGTCTCAGCAGGGGCTGGGCAGAGGATGTGACTGGAATAGTTTGCTGGTGATGTGGTTCACAAGCAAATGATGCCCAGGGACAGGAAGGAAGCAGACCTGGAGCCAGTCTACATGGAAGATTACTCTGGATTAACTTCTAAACTTGATTTATTCCATTTGACTCCCAAAGTAAATTATAGTAGATCATATTAACCACTTACAGCTTAATGAAAGCATCCACATTGGGATTTAATGCTTTTAATTCACACCACGTATCATTTGAATTAATTTTACCTTGTGCAGAAAACCCTCCCAGGGCATTGTGTCTTTCTGGCAGTGTGCCTCTGGGGTGATGCCTCTCATGCAATTTTCCTTGTGTAGAGTGTTGCCTAATGCCAACCCATAAGTTTTTTGTATCTCCATTAACTACTACACAAATGCTGCAGTGCTCATGTAACATAGATGCCTTTAGCATCACTGGCAGCCTCTGACTATGAAAATCCTTGGAACAGAAGAGCTTACACTAGGCATGGATAAATTGTGTTTTACCAACATGAACTCCTTGTACCCCACGTTTGCTGTGTTCATCCCACCAAAATTAACCTGTCAAAGGAATGGGAAATTCTGCCAGTGCTTCAGCACAACTTTGTGCTATTGCTGCGTACAGCAGCTGGAACACAACTGGCAGGTTATATCTGCTGCTGGGCTGCTCCCAGCTTAATATGTTGATAATCCTCTCTTCTCCCGCCATGCTCCCTGGGAAAAATCCATAGTACTTCCATGAAGACCGGTGAGTGCAAATCTTCCAGCTTGCAGAAGGCAGCAGATGCACCATGTGCCGGTCTGCTGCTGCTGCCATGGGCTTCAATGCTCGGGAATCCACTTCCCTCTCCAGAAAGGTCTGGTAACCAGCAGGAAAAGGACAGGCCAGGGGCACAAAGTTGTGCCTTCGGTGGCTGCTCTTTGCTCTGGGTCAGCTTTGATCTCAAACAGCACAGAAAAGACCAGAAAGATCACATTGCTTTTCAAGTTCTGGGGTTTTTTTTGCCTTGGGTGAACTCATAGCACATCTGTTCCAAACATGTATATGTGTGTGTATATATATGTGTGAGGGTGTACATATATATACATATATATATATTTAAAAGACAACCACAGATTCTGAAGGCATTTAGCAATAAGTTGAATTCCAGTTGCTTCTAGCACATGTGTCAATAGGTCATGTGTGAATAGCTCATTTTCCATAGTGTCCTCAGACGCGGTGTAAGTCCACACACAGGTGTTGTCTTTGCATAGCAGCCTTCATGTCTCACCCTTGCCAGTTCTGTTGTATGGGGAAAAGGGAACCTGCTGTATTTGGATGTAAATAATGGGAACTGAACAGAGAATTTACAGAGTTTTTATAAATGTTTTTAAAACCTCAGCACCAGAAGTGTAAATGTGTCAGCCCCTTCTGATGTCCATCACTTGTCCAGATCCACAGCCAGGGGGACTGCCTTACAGCGCCTGCGCCCGCTCCCGGCCAGCGGGTGACCGCCTTTGGTGGATGGTCAGACACTGTCACTTACCCAGCTTCCTTTGGGTCATTCACATCAGGGTTTTGTGATGCTGCTATTAATTTATTAAAGAAAGTTTGTTGGTTTAATTGCTCTTAATTTTCCTGTCATGGTCTCTCAGAACACAGAGGAGTGAATGTGCCCTCTGTGCCTTTCATCCATCCCCACTTAAATCTTTCCTGAGCGCAGAATGTTGTGAGCCAGAAACAAAACAGCAACAAAAAATGAGGATAAGCCTGAGGATAACTTTCATTTCTCCTCCCACAATTGAAGTATGGCCCTTAGCTGCTTAATCCCAGAAGTGAGCATCAGCAGATACCAGTGCTTCAGACTGGTTACAAATGCAAAGACGGTGATAAACGCTTTCCCCTTTTCTCCTTCCTCCCTCCCGGAATAGCTCTTAAAAATTAGAGTTTAAACATTGCCTCAGTCTGAAGAACGGATTTAGTTCTCTGCAACTCACCCAAAATCAGGTTGTTCCTCAGCAGCTTTGCTCTGCTGAGCTGTAGCCATTAACCATGGTGGTGCCTCAAGAAGCCCTGCCCTGGTGGCCGTGGGAGTACCCACTGGAAGCCTTGTGTGAGTCTTCAAGCCTTGGCTCAGGTATGGGTTTGTCTTACAGGCAGTGGGTGGTGGGACATGCACAGGCAGGCTGCCTGAGAGATGGAGCATGCACACAGAGGGTCTGACCCAGCAGACAGACCACTCTCTATGACTTGCACTGAGGAGTCTACCAGCGGTGATGCCATGAATCAGCCCCTGCAGTAGCCCCCTCCTGAGCCGCAGGAGCTCACAGCCTTCCCCACGTTGCTGCTACGTTTGCTCTGGCTCAGCCACCCGGCTCCCAGGCCTGAGCTGGCTCACGTACATCTGTGATGTGCTGCTCCCCAGAGCCAAGCGTGGGGTGTAGCCTCCATGAAGATAACCATGGTGGCTTTGGAGATCTCCGAGGACCTCAGAGGCTGTCCTTTGAGGACAAGGGCCTGCTCCTTCAGTCCTGTGCTTGCTGAAGATGCGAGCAGCTACCCAGAGGATGTGGCATTTGGGATGAGCCGATGGCGAGGATCTTCAGGGTATCCCACCTCAGCGTGGCTCTCATTGTTTTAACGACCTGTGAGTCAGCAATAGTTTTTAGTTGAGTGATAAATTAAAGATGCTCACGTTAGGGGATGTGTGAGTAGTCAGCGTGGACAGTGTGGTTGGTGCCTTTCTCTTTATAGAGACCCTCATGTCACCCATTAGTGCCTTTCTCCTGGGTAGCCCCTACAAGGAGGTTCATCACTGACGTGCAGCATGGCCAGCGCCTTTCCTTCCCAAGTCATCAGCCTGACTGCAGTACTGTGGTGTGCTGGAGCCATGAGGGCCCTGGGTAGGGAGACCCAAATTCCAAAGGAAGAAAATGAAGGAAAAAAACAAACCACAAGCAGGTCTTAAAAAATATTGTTTAGCTTTGAGCTAATAATGAAGAGTGTCTGCTGTTCTTGCAGACAAATCAGGCTAATCTGGCATTCCAGAGCAGCATCCGGCATGTGATAAAGATGCAGATGTCTCTTGGATGGGTTTCCTCCCTGGGTCCCAGTATCATTAGGATAGCTGCATGCCCAGCCAAGAGCTGCACTTGTCTTTGTCTCCATTTCAGGCTGGGACAGAAAAGGCATCAGAAGCTTTTTTCCTGGGAAAAAGCCCTCAGCGATGACCAAGCCTTGGGCTGGTGCAGCAGAAGAGCAGAGGTGGATTCACGGACACATACATCTGCACATATGAACATGCACATCCCAGAGCCCCCAGAGAGCACCAAGAGGTGTCACTGTGCTTCAGTCTTCCCTTGAAAACGTGTGACTAGCTGAACAGCCGGGGAGGAATCCTGTGATGGGAGGTGGAATGCAGCCGTAGGTGTCACTGTGAAATGTGGGTTGCTCTGGTGATAATGTACTGCTGGGGGTGCACGAACCAAAAATGCTTTGATTTGTTTCAGTTTGAAGTTGTTTTTAACTCATTTTTCTTTAAGTCTCAGGTCTTCCACTTGCTCGCTTTTACCCACACTGAAACTTGTGCTTCAGGAGTCGACAGATATCTCTGTGATGTGTCATTCCCTCTGGGCTGTGCAGGGATGCTGCAATCCCAGAACAACACGGGGATGAAAAGCCTTCAGGTGGGTGATTTTCATAGAACCCCAGAGGGGTTTGGGTTGGAAGGGACCTTAAAGCTCATCCAGATCCAACCCTGTGGCTGCCCCATCCCTGGCAGTGCTCAAGGCCAGGTTGGACACAGGGGCTTGGAGCAAGCTGCTCCAGTGGAAGGGGTCCCTGCCCGTGGCAGGGGTTGGAGCTGGAGGAGCTTTAAGGTCCCTTCTAAGACAGACCATTCCATGGCTCTGTGAATTCTTGTTGTGTCTTACATCTCCCATGAATGGTGCCCCACGGTCTGCTTCCCCCAGAAATGAAGGATCTCTTAGCCTATAACTACAGTTTACCCAACAGATCCCTGGGATGCTGCTGCTGCTTTGTCACTGCAGTGTCTACCAACACTTAGGTGACTTGAGAAATGAATCACGTAGCATCCCACAGGGGCAAGTGAAATCCACTGTTCTCAACTTTCCTGTGCTTGAATCGTAATTAGTTCAACAAATTGGATGCATTAATGTTTAATTAAAATACAGCCTAATTACCCAGTGTGTTGTTAATAGGAGCTAATTGTGGCACTCGGAGTTATTTACACTGTGACACACTGCAGTCGAGCTGGAGGCTGGTGCCTGTTAGACCACTGCCTGCTTAGAGCGGTTTCACGTTGGTGTGTGCTGCTGATGCTGGTGTCTCCTCCTGCAGAAGAACAGGCGGGTGCTGGTGATGGATGATCATCGAAGGCATCTGAAGGCTACAACAGCTCTTCTGTGGCTTTCTGGGTAGGAAGACTTCAGTGCTCCCTGTGGAGCCCACACTTCCCAAAGATCATGATGCTGCTCAAAGCAATAGGTAAGTGCTGATGCTCTGCAGATTTCAACTGTGCTAACCCTCAAATCATGGGCATTTGGTCTATCCTGCACCTTTCCTGGGTGCTACTGAAGAGAAGACTGCCTGCATCCTCCACCAGGCTGTCCTACGGATGCTGGGATGCGTTACTGACTCCATGCAGCAAACCAGGGGATGCAGCAAACCATGGTGAGCAAATGGTGGTTGTCCTTAGCCAGATCTTTTCTCCTGGAGGGTAAATGAATGTGATTGCCTGCTGCGCTTTGTTGCAGTTTGTTGGCACTTTTGCTTTAAAACATAAACAGGACTGAGCAGCAGCCATGGGAATAGGCACGATGGGGGGGTACAAGTCCAGGCAGGGGCACAGAGAGCACTTTCAATGGGAAGAGAATAGAATGCTTGGCTTGTTTGAGGCAAAGATGAGTGAAGACAGCTCTCCATGAGGACTCCATCAAGGGACTGCTTGTTCTGACTAAGGAGGGAGAGGAGCTGTGTAGGCTACAGGAAAACACTGGCGCACAAAAAGGGACAGAAATAAACTCGAAATTAGAAGCAGGTTTCTCCCAAGTGGCTCTTGCGGGTCTGGGACTGTGCTCTCTGCTGGGGCAGCAGTAACAGCAGCCAGAAGGCTTCCTGAGGGCTCAGCTCTTGCGTTCATGCAGGAATCTGCTGCAGAGGTGGAGCAGGAGGGCCTGACCCAGCCTGCCTGCAGGCAGCACCTCTGCCCTCCCCAGGAACACACATCCTGAAGCAAGAAGCTATTTCTGTGCTGTGGCCCTTCCAAGGCCAGCAAAGGCACGAGAAGCAGCCCGGTTCTGGAGGCAGGGGAGGACGTGCCAAGGCAGTGCGTGTCCCACAGGCAGGACACCACGGAGCCAAGGGGTTGTGTGTTCCCAGCCCTGAGCCAGCCCTGGGTGGTCTGCAGCAAGAGGTCACGGCCATGCTCAAAAGCATCCAGAATCAACCAAGCCTGAGTGCATGCAGTCATGGAAGGGAGTTTTGTGTACCCACAGCAGCACTTCCATGGACACTGAGTGTTCCTGGAGCCAGCCTCATTCTCCTTTGGAAAGCCACGATGTTGAGGTAATGTCCCCTAGGGCTGCCGTTAGCTGGGGTAGCTGTAGGAACACTGGTGAGCAGCTTTAAGGGCTGAGAGCCTGCTCTGTGCTTGCAGTGCCTGACTTCTTCAATGCTTTTCTTTGTCATTGTGTTTCCAGCTGTGCAGCCAAGAACTTCATGGGTTTCTTCAGTAAAATAAATGGTGGTGTTGGCCTTTTGAGCTCTTCTGTTGTTGAAAGTGGACTCAGGGGAACTGGCAAGCAGCAAGGTTACTGTTTTCTCAATGTGTTCCTAACTGCATTGGCAGCATGGGCACAAACTTGTGGGCAGCAGACAGCTCAGATCAATCTGAGAGTCCCAAAGGCTGGGACATATTTCCAGTTCAACAGTTAAAAGCTGGAAGATCATCGGATGAAAGTCAAGGATTGTCCTCTCCTGGGCTTTATGCATCAGATGGGCATCTCTCAGTGCCACAGTGGCTCTCTCAATCTCCCTGGGAAGCCCCGGCTCTGTGATCAGATCCTGTAAGGGTACAAAGGATGCTTGGGTACCCAGAGATAGGATGGGAACCTTCATCTGTTGTCTCTGATTACTTCTGCATCAAAAGGAGCGTGAGCAGCAGCTCAGGGAGGGGATCCTGCCCCTCTGCTGCACTGGGGAGCCCCCCCTGCAGCCCTGCTCCAGCTCTGGGGCAGCAGCACAAGAGGGACCTGGAGCTGTTGGAGGGAGGCCAGAGGAGGCCACGGAGCTGGATCAGGGCTGCAGGGGGGGTTTCCCCAGAGCACGGCAGAGGGGCAGGATCCCCTCCCTGAGCTGCTGCTCACGCTCTGGGGTGCACCCAGCACAAGGGGGGTTCTGGGCTGCAGAGCAGTCCCGTGGTGCATCTGGAGGAGCATCCATCCAGTACACGAGGAAGCAGCCCAGGGTGCAGGGGCGCGGATGCTCAGTTCTGGTGCAAGCCTTGCGGTGGCTGTCGTTTCTCAATGGTTGTTTTATGTCTCCATACGCTGGGAAGAGGATCTCGCACAGGCTGTGGAGCCATTTCAGCTGTTCAGACAGCTCAGCCACAATATGTTGCCTCAAATTGTTTGGTTAAACACATGCATCAGCTGCACTGTTTGCCTTGAAGCTATGAGAACTACACACCATCATGAGAAAAATCAGCTTCTCCATAGACATAAAGAGCTTGACAGCGCTTCCTGACGTACCCTGCCACACAGGGCTGCGGGCTGCAAGCCTGCTGTGGCCCTTGGCGCTCTTTAGGTTCTGGATTATATCATCAGTTACTGCACTCTCAGGGCCTCAGCATCTGGTAGCTGAAACCAGAAGGGTTGTGTCACTTTACATCCTTTCAAGACCTAGGTACGCCACTCTGTGTATAGGTACTGCTACTCTGTGTAAGGACAGGACAAGGGGGAGTGGTTTTAAACTGAAATGGGAGGTTTTGATTAGACATTAAGGCACAAGTTCTTCCGTGTGAGGGTGGTGAGATGCTGGCACAGGGTGCCCAAAGAAGCTTTAAGGTCTGTTCCAGCACAGACCACTCCGGGTTTCTCCCTATAGCTGCAGTGCCTTAGGGATGGCTCCAGGGTGGGTTCAAGACCCATGGTGGATCGGGGATGCAGGAGCTGGTGCCAGTGAGGCAGGGACATGCATCCACACTTGGCCAAGCCCCCATTGGAGATGATGGGGTATTTCTGTGGGTGCTCTGGGGCATGAGCATGGGAGCAAGGGCAGGGGCAGGGCTGGGTTTGGCTGGCTCATGCCATGAGGGACACAGCTCTGGTGAGTGCAGCAGTGCTGGGGCCGTGGTTCCGGTGCCACGAGGGGTGATGTTACCCAGCAGTGAGCCCATCACTGAGCGATGGAGCGAAGGGGTGGCACTTGTCAGTTAGCAGCGCAAAGAGAACGGACCTCATCCGGCACTGAGCGTGCCACGGGCCCCTCTGTCATTTCCATGCACTGGGTGCCGAGCTCCGGCAGGGGGATGCTGCGCCTGCCTCCATCCTCCAAAGCGTCCAAGCACTGCTGCTGACACCCAGTGGCCATGGAGCTGGTGGCGCTTGTAGAGAGGGAACGTTTCAGCAGGGATGCCTCAGCCGGTGGGATGCAGCCTCTGCCTTGTTTCCTCAATGCAAGAGGAGTAAGGAGCCCCTGAGAGAGGCCAGCCTGGCCGTAGGGCTTTCAGCCTTTGTCAGGGCACAGTCTTGTATCCAGAGATCAGTCGGAAAAACGAAGCATTAAGAGGCTGGGTAATGAGGAAACAGAAGTAAACTGGTGCTCACATCGCTCTCTTGTTGGCAGCTTGGTACCAGACCTCAGGGAGAGGAGGAGGGCGATTCTGTGAGTTCAGAAGCCTTGGCATCCACCCTCCCTGTTTTGCTCCTTCCCAAAAGCAGTTAGAGTGTGACAGAGACAAAAAGATGGTTTTCCCTGCAGCAAGCACGGGATCGAGCTCTCAGGTGTTTGACAGGTATTGACTCTCAGGGAGGGGGAAAACCTCTTGTGGAGAGATCGGGTTTTACCCTTCAACAAACGGCTCTAAGACTTGACATCAGTCAAAGACAGAAACAAGGCCTGAATCTCAAGGGTATGCAAAGGAGTTCTCGTTGTGTGTTGTGCAAATGCCTCACCAGATACATGGGGATGAGACGGTAAAAACACTGGGAACCCAGGCCTGGGCTGGGAACAATAAGAGCAGAACATGGCAAAGGAGGGATTTTGAAAGTGCTTTACTGAAAATATTAATTATAGACTCCTCCAGCAGATGAATTAAAGCACTGTAATGCAAACAGTGTGTGAAAGAGGCACGGAATGAGTGTAATTCTACACACAGAGGGGGGAAGCATAGTGCTGCAATCCCAGTGAGGCTCAAGTGTGAGGAAGGACGAGCAGCTGTCAGCGTTCCGTTTTGGTTCACCAGGCCACCTCTTAGCAGTGTGGTTTGCCCAGGCTGCAGATGTGATGCTGGGAGAAGGGGGCTGGGGGTGTCTGCAGTGAGGCCCCTCTGCAGGGTGAGCTTGGTGAGTGGGGAGCCCTATGCCGGGACCAAGACCAGCCTCCCGCACCTAAATACTCCTGTAAGGCTGCAGCGTACAGATACCGTAAGTAGATGCACTTCATTTATCACTCTGTTACTAGGCTGGTTTCTAGGCAGGCTTCAGCCTAACTGTTCTGTGCTGTGGTTACTGAAATAGCTCTGGGGGGCGAGTTGTAGCCGCAGCGGTGCAGCATCTGCTCCTTCCCCACGTCTTACCTGGGCCAACTCCACCGCTTCTTGAAGCAAAGTTAGACAGGAACTCTAACCCAGCTTAAACCTGCCCATCGGCTCCAGGTGGCGGCACCATTGGCTCACTGCAGATGCTCAGTGTGCCCCCGTGGTGAGGTCCCATCCGTGGTACCCAGGGCAACAGGGTGGGCTCGAGCTGCCTGCCTTGCTTGTCCCCTTGGGGAGGTTTTAGTGTATGTTTAAACTGTTTCAGTGGTTTCAGAACACGGGGGCCCCACCAGGAGCTATTTCCAGCAATGGTAAATCTCAGTGGGACTTTTCCCAATGGTTTTCTCTAGTTTTTGTCTGGTTTTATTCATTATTATTACTGCAGTAACTGTTGTCCTGGTGGCAGTTCTGGAAGCCCATAACCCAAAAGTTACTGAGCTTGGATAAGAAAGATGGGGAGAGACTTTTCAGCGGGGGCTGTTGCAGCAGGTTGAGGGGTGATGGGTTTAAACTAAAGGACGGAGATTGAGGCTGGATGTGAGGAAGAAACTTTGTAGAGTGAGGGTGGTAAAATCCTGGCACAGGGTGCCCAGAGAGGTGGTGGATGCCCCATCCCTGGAGACATTGCAGGCCAGGCTGGATGTGGTTCTGAGCAACCTGGTCTGGTTGGAGATGTCCCTGCTCCAGGCTGTGCATAGACTGTTTTTTCCTCATGCTTTCTTCCTTTGCTTGCTCCCCAGGTATCATTAGGTTGTTGCCCATTGCAGCCAGTGGAAGCAGCTGGTAGTGATTGAATGATTTTGCAGTTGGATGTGTAAGACAGCACTTGCTGCGCTGGTTTGTTTCTGATTGCATTAGCGTGGCACTTTACAGAGCTGATTGATGCAAACTGGATTTTCTCTCTGAGCTTCCACTGTTCACTGGAAATCCCCATCTTTAATAAACGCTCCTGCAAGAAAATGTGTTCTGGTTGTTCAGATCAGATGAAAGCAAACTGAACCTCTGGCTGTCAGCTGGTTAGGTCTCTGACCAAAACCGTATCAGAGTGGGCTTGGAGGACAGTGTCTCATCTACTGCTGATTTAATAGTAGTAGTAGTATTAATTATTATTGTTGTTGTTATCATCATCATCATCTTCAGAGGGAGTAGTTCCTTACAAATCAGTCAGCAGTTTCATCAGCTGAGTACCTGGTGTTGAGAAACACCTTGGGTGCTCCATTGAATTCTGGTACTGGAGCCCAGTTCCTAGAGAAGCTCCCGCACTGCCTTTGCCAGTGTAACCCTTTCGTCTCCTGTGAAGCATCTGCCCCTTGCAGCAGCTGTGATCATGCCTTCTTACAGCACAAGTTTCTCTCCAGGCCTCCCCACTTCAGCTTTGGCACCTCAGTTAATGAAATAAATAGCTCAAGTAGCTCATATTCAGCATTTAAATGCACTCAGCAGGCTCAGTATCTGTGAACTAGGAAAACCTGGTGAGAGTGAGGTGGGTACAAGGGCTAGGAGCAGGCATTTGTACCCAGCACTGTGCGTGAGGTGCTGCCCTTCAGTGTGTGTCCTGCTGTCACATTTCTAGAGCCTTCAAATAAACCAAAGCAAAGCCACAGAACAATGTTTCCTTTATTCACAGCAGGTTCCACTGCCTCCCTTCTCTCCCTTGTCCTGTCATCAATAACAGCTTGCTCCACAGTCAGCTTAAAATGCCTCCAGTGTTTTCCTTGGGCCCGTTGAGGACTTGAATTGCAGCAACCAGCCTCACAGATGGCAGCAGTTAGGGCAGACCTGTGTGGGCTTCAGAAAGCTGAGGCCTCCTCAGCTGTCATTGGGATGATGTTGCAAGAGCAGTCCATCAAACACAAGTGGTACAGCAGCAGCAAACAGAGTTAGCATCCCGCAGAAGCGTGCAATGGCTTTCCTGCCGGGGATCTGAAATGGGCACAGATCATCTCCTGTTATTCCCAGGACTGAGAAAGAGCTGGGCTCATGCTGTAGCATCCCCATCACGCATCGCTGCATCGCAATGGCAATGTGGGAAGCATTTCCTTGCCACAGTTTTCTTGCCATCATCTGCAGTTTGTTCACGTTTTATGAACCAAAATGTTTGGAACTTGGATGCAAAACAAAGATGAAAGCGAGCACATCTCTGAATCCATGCGTTCAACTGCTAAGTTCATCTCTAAGGACAACGTGAAGGTATTCCTACAGCCAGTTCTCCCTCATCAGTGATGTCTTAAAAGACATATTAGAAAAGCTACCCATTTGCTTAAACTATGTGGCCATAAGGAAAAGATGATAGTTATCATACCAGGGGATCAGTACTCCCTAGGTGATCCTTCAGACCTGGAGAAAATGTCATCAGTACCAATAAATTGGATATGGGAAAATTCATCCTCTGCATGCACTTTCCCCATGTGCCATCACTGACATGAATGCAAACAACTGGGATGGGAGCACAAAGAGCACGAGGCCATAACCCATAAAAACAGGACTTTAACACACCCAGTACAAATCTCTGCTGCCTGAGTGGTTTGGGGCAGGATAATGGCGTTATTTATGTTGCTGGGCATGCAGGTAACTTTGCTGCATTTAGCAGAAGCAGTCTGGGCTCATGTGAGCAGGATTTGGGTCGTTGCTGCGAGGCATTTTGTATCAGAAACAGCCCCACATACAGGCTTGCTTTCTGAAACAGACTGTTGTTTGGTGTCCAGTCTTGGAGCATCTGTTAATAGTTGGCTCTTAGTATTTAATGTACTGTTTCATTTATAACTCTTGTCTGAGACACCCACTTAAAAGCACATTGCATGGACTGGCTGCCTTGGTGCTTACCTTCTCTTACACTGACCAAGCAACATAAACATTACGAGGCTACTTGACAAACTCAGGATGACTGGAACAAGGATAAATAGCTGCTTGTCCTCTTTTCTGGGTACTGCAAAGATAAATGACAGCAAAGAGGAAAACATTAGCTTGCAGTATGGGTCATATTGCTTCTTACAAAGCTTGGGTTCCAATGCAAACTCAGTGTGTCCAGATTCGTTACCCTACATATATTTATGCCTCTATTGATGTATTTGTTTATGTATTTCTATGTTTTTAAATGTATTTATTTATCTGTTACAGATGTGTGCCAGGTATATGTTACAGGGTAACATCCTTCAGGGTAACATCTGTTCTGCACATGAGTGTAGTCACCACTCTGTGCCTCTTCCCCACATTGTGCGTTTTGCAGCAGGGCCAGTGCACATGGGGACAGCCCTAAGGAGCCCACAGGGTGCAAAGATGCTCTCTGTGGTGCGGGACAGCGGGAGGATGCTTGTGGAGAGACTCCGAGTACCCCATGCCCTCTTCTGCAAAGCCCTCACTGCCCCATCCCGCAGAGAAAGGCGTTGGTCCAGAAGCATTAACCGTTGGGGTTTGCCTGCTCATTGCACAGGGGATGCACAGCTGTAGGAACGGCTGTGCTGGAGCAGGCTGAGGGTGTAACTAAACCAGGATCCCGCCTCCAGTGCTGGGCAGCAGCAGATGCCCACGGCAGCCGTCAGCGCTTGGTCCCGAACAGGCTTTATAAAGGATGCAAAAGAAAGGCGGGCTGTGTTGGGGTCCGTACCAGAGAAGCACTCCCGTGTCCACTCGCTCCAAAAGCCCTGGTCCGCACAGAAGATGTTTGTTCTCCCCCTGACCCGAGCGCACGAGACGCGGCTTTGGTTTGCTCTGTAAACCGTTAGCGTGGTCTCCAGCTGGGTGGACACCGACTGGGGAGCAAACAGAAAGAACAAACGTCAGGGAGTGCCGGGGCACCACCACCAGCGCTGCGGTCGCTGGACGGGCTCTGCAAACACTGGGTTATGTTCGGGCAGAGAAGCTGTGGCTGCCCCATCCCTGGCAGTGCTCAAGGCCACGTTGGACACAGGGGCTTGGAGCAAGCTGCTCCAGTGGAAGGGGTCCCTGCCCGTGGCAGGGGTTGGAGCTGGAGGAGCTTTGAGGTCCATTTAGCCCCAACCATTCTGGGATTCTCTGATCCTTTATGATTAATTTTTGCTACTTTTGCCACCAAAACAGCACCCAGGTAACGCACAAGGGAAAAGCATCATAGAAGCACAGAAGACGTTGTGTCCTGGGCTGCTTCCTTGGGGAGTTTAGAATTACAGTTTTGTTGTCTCAGGTTGTGCTGCCATGCTCAGCAAAACAAACCCCAACAACCCTCATATCTTGCCGATGACAGCTCTCTGGGATAACAGGCAGGGGCCTGAGGGAGCATCTCTGAGACTCACACTGGGATCTTTGACTGCTAAAGGAAACGCTGCAGCTGGGGGTCAGGGTGTTCAGTAGGAACACGTGCAGTGAAGCAGCTGATAGCGTTTACCCCTGAGGAGAAGGATTGGGGTGTTGGGTGAGGAGAAGCTCCCCATGACCCGGCTTCAGTGAGTGCCTGAGCCCAGAACCCCCCTGTGTGCTGGGTGCACCCCCAGAGCGTGAGCAGCAGCTCAGGGAGGGGATCCTGCCCCTCTGCTGTGCTCTGGGGAGATCCCCCCTGCAGCCCTGGTCCAGCTCTGGGGCAGCAGCACAAGAGGGACCTGGAGCTGTTGGAGTGAGTGCAGAGGAGGCCATGGAGATGCTGTGAGGGCTGGAGCAGCTCTGCTCTGGAGCCAGGCTGAGAGAGCTGGGCTGGGGCAGCCTGGAGAAGAGAAGGCTCCTGAAGGGGAGACCTTAGAGCAGTCTTTCAGTGCTTAAAAGGAGCCTATGAGAAGGATGGGGAGAGATTTTTCAGCAGGGGCTGTTGCAGCAGGACGAGGGGTGATGGGTTTAGTCTGAAAGAGGGAGATTGAGGCTGGATGTGAGGAAGAAACTTTGTAGAGTGAGGGTGGTAAAATCCTGGCACAGGGTGCCCAGAGAAGCTGCGGCTGCCCCATCCCTGGAGACATTGCAGGCCAGGCTGGATGTGGTTCTGAGCAACCTGGTCTGGTTGAACATGTCCCTGCTCATGGCAGGGGTTGGACTGGATGAGCTTTGGAGGTTCCTTCCCACCCAAACCAGTCTGTGATCTGTGGTTCTCCCCCAGCAGCACCAGCTCATGCCCCTGCACACACTATCCACAGCTCGGTGCACGCCCCAGTTCCCCGGCTGCCTCCGCACAGCAGCCATGGGCAGGGCTCCCCCATCCCAGCCCGTGGGCACGGTGCGCGCTGTCCCTACCGCCCAGGAAGCCTCGTCCTGCCCAGCATCCTCCGCCAGCTGAACCTCGTACTCCAGGCACGGGGCCGGTGTTCTGCCCCTTGGGGGGGTCCATGCGAGGTGGAGCTCCTGGGGCGCAGGCATGGAAAGCACCAGCTGCTCCGGGGGGGAGGGCTTGGCTAGTGGGGAGCGGAGAGAGGGAAGGTCAAGAGGAGCAATCAAACACCTTCAGTTACCACCAACAGCCTCTGCCCCTCCTGCTCGCCGATGGGGTTTCTGGGCTCCCATCGCCATCAGCCACAGCCTGCAGGAGCGGATGGCACCGGGCTGCAGGGTGAGTTCACCTCACCCTGGTGTGTGTGCTGCGCTAGGGCCTTGTGCTGGGCCGTGATGCCGGGGCTTTGGAACGCTGTGGTGTGAGCCCTGTGCTTGGTGCACAGCCTGGCCCCTGTAACGGAGCACTCTCTGCGTCCCCAAGGGGCTCTGGTTTATGTCAGCTGCCCAAAGCCACACATGAAGCACACACAGCACTAACTGCATCCAGACATCGTGTTCGTTAGCCAGGGGCTCAGCTGCAGGACTAATGAGTAAATGCATCAGTGTGGTAAGTGCCCCTAACAGTGAGTGGATGTGCTGGGTGATCCATCATGCTGTGCGCTCCTTCCTTTCCCTGCCTCTGATGTCTGAAATGCATCGTTCCTCTGCAGACCCCATCACACTTTGCACTCAGTTATCCCCAGCCCTTAGCCTGCTTTGAACAGCAAACCCAAAGCGCTCTTCTGTGCTTGCAGGAGCAGAGCAGTGATTTCAGTTCCAGCATGAGGACATGAAACCAGCTCTGTGCTGGTGCTCCTAGAGCCAAGAAACCCATAGAGGGGCTCTTCATCAGGCACTGGAGCAGTAGGACAAGGGGTGATGGGTTCAAACTGAAGCAGATTGGGTTGGAACTGAGGCAGAAGCTCTTCCCCAGTGCCCTGCTGCTCCCCTGTCGGTGTTACCTAGGTTGTGAAGGCGAAGGGTGATGTACAAGGGCCGGAGCAGCGCCGTGCCCGCCGAGCCATTGACACAGATGCTCAGATCCTTATATTCTGCCTGGCTGAGGTTCTGCAGCACGCAGCCGATGTTCATCCTGTGCTCCTGAACGTAGCTGTCACACTGCAGCACGTGCTCCAGCCCCTCGTACCTGGTGTGGGGTGGGAAAAGAGAAAGAACCAGAGCAATGGCATTGACTGCTTGGGTGAGGCCTTAGCCTCAGGTGTTGCCTGTATCCTGCCTACCCCTTGCCTTCCACAGAGCAGTGCTGTGCCGTGGTCACCAGCTCCCAGGCTGCTCTGGAGGCTGTGTCAGGCTCTCTCGGAACACAGGAGGCCTCACAAGGTGCCGCTGTGTGAGCAGAGCCTGGGCAGGATGCGGCCCCTCCGTATGGAGACACTTGTCCTCCGCGGGGGCACACAGAGCACCACCAGCTCTGGGGCTGCAGAATGGTCCCGTCCCCAGGCAGCCTGTGCACACCTGAATGGCATGAGTGTTAACCTGAGTGTGGGCAGGTCCTGCACCTGCATGGCCATGTACTGGAAACCAGCGGTGGAGCAAGGAAGGAGTTAGGGTTGGGCTGAAGGGACCTTAACGCTCATCCAGTCCAACCCCTGCCACTAGAGAGCTTGCTCCATCCCTCTGGTGGTTTCTGGGTTCCTCCTCTGGACCCTCTCCACCAGGTCCATGTCTTCTCCACTGAGGACTCCGGAGCTGGATGCAGCACTGCAGGGGGTGCGAGAGGCAGCATCCCCTCCCTTGACCCGCTGACCATGGGATGCGGCCCAGGACACAACTGGCCTGGGCTGCAAGTGCACCCTGAACCCTTGAGCTGGTGCACTGGAGGCAGGGCTGGATCAGCCTCTGCTCTGCACCTAAGGGAAGCCTCCATGCACAGCACACGGTGTCTGGGGAAAGGCTTCATGTGGCCATGCTATAAGTGACTCACAGGGAGCAGAGGATGCCATGGCTGTGTTCCCACCCGTTATACAATGGGACCCGGGTCCAGCTGCTGGGGTTTGCTGCAGGCACTTGAGCAGGGTGGGTTTGGGGAGGTGGCTGTGGTTTGGTGGGTTCTTTTAGGCACAAATCAGAATTTCCATGGTTTCTTTCCAGCAGACCTTTGTAGTCAGGAAAATGGTTCAAAATCAGGGGGTTTGGTTTGTAGACTGATGCCAAGAGCTGTGTGGAAGCTATTTCTGAACAGCAACAAAGGCAGGAAACCAAATGATCTTCTAACTAGAAATCTTCGTCTTGTATCATAGGACTGGGAGCACAAGTACAGCATTTATTGTCCAAAGCCAGCAAGTCTGACTTTGTTTCTCTTGCAGAACAGAGTCATGGGGCAGCAGGATGAAAGAAGCAACTGAGAAACATGCATTATTACTACCTTTTGGCAGCACTGTTTGCTTGTATGAGATGTGCTAGTGCTATGAAGATATACCTGAAGAATAAAACTGCTAGTTGCCAGGAAGCCCTGCTCTTTCTATAGGGTTCACTGAGCTTGGTAACCTCCTGATGAACCCATCCTATAGAGATATATGTGCTGTGACCAAGGGAAATGTGCAGCCAAGATGATCCAGGTAGGTTCAGCAAAGGGAAAGGAGAAGGCTGCGTGGTGAACAATATGCAGAAAGCACTCCTTAGGGGGGAATACAGGGGAAAGGAGGATGGGAGAAGGCGTTTCCTGTGGAAGGTCAGCAGGGATTTAGTATTTCCTTGCCAGAAGGAATATGTTGCTTGGAGCATTATTTCAGCTCATTCTGGATGGATCATGTAATAGCACTGCCAGCCATAAAAGCATATTTTCCATGGCATTTTAGTACCCTGAGTGGTTCACTTGGTTGCTGCCTGGATGCTCTGTCTATCTTGCTGATACATACCAATAATAGAGTCCATAATGGACACTGTGAGGAGTGAGGAGACCAGGTTGCCAAGTGCACTTGAGGTATTCCCAGTCATGATAGATGCAGTGGAAATTCTGAACCCCTGATTCCAGTTTTCCTGCCAAATGAGAAGGAAATAACCGCTATTCAGCCAGGTACCAGTCAGGCCCAGCAGCAAGAGCGTTCTACCTCTTTGAACAATTGTGTGCTGCACTTGAAAGATAAGGCTGCCAAGCACTGTGTTTCTTATAAAAACCAGTTCACTGGACCTAAGGCAGGAAGAACCATGCCCGACCTCTGCATTCAGCAATGGAGCTCGTGTTGTGAACCCAGCAGAGCTTGGGTACAGGTGGAGGAACACGAGCCCCAGGTATCCACCAGCACAGGCACTGGAAGCCGAGATGCTCTGGTGTCTTACACCTCAACAAGCCCTGCAATGGTTTACCCACCCAGCAACCCAGTGGCTCATGCAAAATCATCAGCGCCAGGTACCAAAGGCTGCTCCTAACCTTGCAGTGGGACCTGAAAGGTGGCATAGATCCAGTCACTGTGCACCTCCACACCGTCCGTACAGCGCCCTTCCAGCAGTGTCTGGACCCTCACTTCAGCAATCCTGCTGAGGTCAAAGCCAACTCTGACTTTGAGCTTCTTAGTAAAAATCACCTGGGTGAAAGACAGACTTCATCAGCACCGGTTCTGCCCCCGGGTGGGTGCAGGGTTAGCTGTACTCCCATGGTGTGTTCTCCAGTCCCACACTGATTCTTCTTGATCTTATCTGGCCTTTGGCGCGGTGTCAGAGGTGGGCTGTTTTTTCCTGCTTTGTAGATCTGTTTTGTATAAGACACTTTTATTACTTGTGATTTAGGGAACTCTGACATGGTTATTAGAACTGTGTTTGCTTTCCTTTGTGCTTGTTAAATGCCAGTTGAGATCATCACAGAAGAATCTGCACAGCTGCATGACCGAGTGTGATGTGCATCATGACTGAGGTCAGGTCAAAGAGCCCCTCACAATTACAATCCATAGCTGAAACAGGATGTTAGGCACTGTGCTCTTCCATCCCTGCAGGTTCCCATGGGATGCGTGGGCCAAAACCCATTTCATAGAACCATAGAACCCCAGCTCCAACCCCTGGGCACCCTGTGCCAGCGCCTCAGCACCCTCACAGGGAAGAGCTTCTGCCTAAGAGCTCAGCTCAGTCTCCCCTCGGGCAGGTTCAAGCCATTCCCCTTGCCCTGTCCCTACATCCCTTGTCCCCAGCCCCTCTCCAGGTTTCCTGCAGCCCCTTTAGGCACTGGAGCTGCTCTAAGGTCTCCCCTTCAGGAGCCTTCTCTTCTCCAGGCTGCCCCAGCCCAGCTCTCTCAGCCTGGCTCCAGAGCAGAGCTGCTCCAGCCCTCGCAGCTGCTATTGCCCTGCTGCACATCAATGAGAGATCATTTTATGAGAGAGCTGCATTGGTCAGTGGTATCCCTGGATAAGGGGACTGTTGGAGCATTAGGATAATGAATTAAATGTAATCTTTTATATATTCACCACTTTGCATCCATAAGGATCTGCTGACACCAAGTTTTGGTTTAAGTTCCCTAAAGACTTTCTAGTGGCTGTTGTGCCTCCTACAGTGAGGGCTGCTCCAGGATATTACTGGACCATTTTTAGCAGCAAGCACCACACCCTCTGACAGAAATAGCCCCTTCTCTGGCTGCATTTCAGACCACATCCCCATCTGACACAAGATCCAAACCCCTGGAGCAGTCTGGCTTGTTCATGGAAAGCTGGAACTGCTTTGGTGCTGCCCCTCCTCAAAATGCAAACAGGAACTGCTGCAGGACTAAAGGCAGAACAATACCCTGGGCGTAAGAGGGTTAACCTGAGCTCTGTCTCACCTTCCAGTCTCTGTCCCCAGCGCTGTGGTGTTCAATCCTGTATTTTACTGTGCACTCGTTGAAGGTCTGGGCAGCGGGTGGAGGTTTCCACTGTATATCGAGGGAGCCCAGGAGGCCAGGGTCAGTGATGTGCAGGTCTTGTGGGGGAGCAGCTGCATTGGAAACAAAGCAGGGAGGAAACCAGAGTGTGGAGGCAAAGGGAACAAACACAAACCCCTTGTGGGACTGGGTGACCTGAGGAGTGGGGCTGCTGGGCCAGGTCCAGCCCTGGCTGTGTAACATGCACAAGCACAGAAGAGCCACTGAAGGGCCAATGAAAAGGCACAAAGGATGCTCCACCTTTGGTGCTCTCAACTCATGGTATTTACTGACTGAGCATCCTCGCAGGCTCCTTCAGCACACAGCAACACAGGATGCCAGGTCACAGCGTGCTGCCATCCCCAACCATCACAGACACAAACCACCCACCCTGCTTTAAATATCCCAGTATATTATAGAATCATGAGAACAAAACGAGAAAAAACAAGCAGCAGGAAAGCAGAGAGTTAAAATCACTGTTATTTTGTACATCAGCTGTACAAAGTGTGCTTTTACAATCAATCCGGCTTTTATTAAGCTGTTGTAAGGTACTATCATGTTAATAGATCAGTACATATCATGGATGAATTCTGTACTAAGACTTGCTGCCTCAAAGCCCAGCTGTGTGCAGAGCTGTCATGGACAAAAGCTGTTTGGCTGTCCAGTTTTGTTGGTTAAATGAAATCAGGTTTTGTACATCAGCAGTGATTTTCTCCCCTCCCTATAGCTGAGGTTATCCAGATCCATTGGGGTTTCTGCACATTCACCGCATGACACCTGTTTGTCCCAGTGATTTGGAGCCCATCTCCTCCAGTGCCAGTCCAGCATGGTCACCACTTCTCTCTTTGAGTCTGGCCATCAGGTCACTGCTTCTCTGCCCCGTTTTGTGTGTCCCTATCGGGATTTACACCATTTTTTCCTTCTGTTTGTAAATAATCTCCCCATGGAAGCAGACCCCGAGAGCAGATTCCAGCAGGAGATGATGACAGAAATCAGACTTCATTGTGCTCCTTGGGAAGCTTGCAGAGAACATCCCTGCAGGATTTATTTCTCCCAAATGAAGCACACCTCAGGCAGTAATCTTAAGATCCCACTTTTCCCAGCTTGTCAGTCTCAGGGGGAATTTGTTGTTATGTGAGATGGCAAAGCAGGGCCCCATGCAGTGCATAGGGGAGCCATGAACAACAGACTGTTGTATTCTCTTCCCTTGTTATTTCCTCTTATCATTATTGTTGTTGGTGGGAGTCGGGTTTGGAAAAGAACTGTCGTGGTTTAACCCCAGCCAGACAGCTTTTCACTCACTCCCTCCCCCCCCTTCTTGCCCTCCCCCTATTCCCGGAGGGACAGAGAGGAGAATCAGAAAGAATGCAACTCCCACAGGTTGAGATAAGAACAGTTTAGTAACTGAGGTATAACACAAATCACTGCTGCTACCACCAATAATAGTAATGATAAAGGAAATAACAAGGGACGAGAATACAACATCTTATCACCAGCTGACCGATAACTCTCCCCCCCAGCCTGACCAAGCACCGACCGATACCTCCTCCAACCCTGCAGTCCCAGCCCTTCCGGGTAACTCTCCGTTACCTCCTGGCCATGATGTGCTGTGCTATGGAATACCTCTTGGGTCAGTTTGGGTCAGGTGTCCTGTCCCTGCTTCCTCCCGGCTCCCCTCCTCCCTGGCAGAGCATGAGGCTCACAAAGTCCTTGGCCCAACCAGAACATCATTGTTATCAGCTCTGTTCCCAGCCCGAAAGTCAAACCACAGCACTGCACCAGCTACCAAGGAAGAGAAAAATGACTGCTACTGCTAAACCTAGGACACAGGATTACACAGCCAACTATCCTCACCCACATCACTCGTACCAAGCAGGGGACTAGAGATGCTCTATTTCATAGAACCACAGACTGGTTTGGGTGGGAAGGGACCTCCAAAGCTCATCCAGTCCAACCCCTGCAATGGGCAGGGACATGTTCAACCAGACCAGGTTGCTCAGAACCACATCCAGCCTGGCCTGCAATGTCTCCAGGGATGGGGCATCCACCACCTCTCTGGGCACCCTGTGCCAGGATTTTACCACCCTCACTCTACAAAGTTTCTTCCTCACATCCAGCCTCAAACTCCCTCTTTTAGTTTAAACCCATCACTCCTCGTCCTGCTGCAGCAGCCCCTGCTGAGGTGTCCCCCCCCCCCCACCATTGCCATGGATGCAGCTTGCAGAGCAGAAAGTGTTATCCCCCAGTTCTGAGCAAGCTGCTGTAAGTGGAAGGTGTCCCTGTCCGTGGCAGGGGTTGGAGCTGGGTGAGCTTTAAGGTCCTTCCAGTACAAACCAGACTGGGATTCTGTGATCCTTACACCTATAGCACAGTCTGTCTGCTCGGACCATGCTCAGGAGCATTGAGGTACCCAAGTGGTATTTGCTCTGTCCCAGCCTTGCACCTGGTAACTGTTATCCATAGATTTCCTGGGCACCAAAGGCAGTCCCTGCTCCTTTGAGGTTACTCAGAACGATGCCCACCGAGCCCCCGGTGCACGTACACGGTGTCACAGGGCTGCGCAGCCACTGCTCGCTGTAACACACACACGAGCAAAGCCTCAGTGAAGGACTGGCTTCAGCCCCAGCCCGAGCCGATGCAGAGCGCGCGTTGGGCAGCGGCACGGCCGCACGCCGGCCCTTACCTGCAGCGTGGGAGGAGGAGGAGGAGGAGGAGGAAGATGCTGCGGCGCAGCCCCACACCAGCGCTGTGGAGAGAGCACAGAGCCACCGGGAAGCCATCGGGAACGGGGACAGGAGCGGCTGTGCTGGCCGGTGCCTGGTGTCCTGCGGGCCGCGGGGGCTGGATGGGGAGAGCAGAGCTGAAGGGCTCCGGCGCTGACAGCAGGCGCCTTTGTACCCCTCGCCGAGGGTGATTAATGCTTTCCCAGGGGAGCCCCATGTGTCAGCCTGGGATGGGAGCACAGGGCTGAGCCTGCCTCCCGGTGAACGCGTTTCTGCTGCCTCAGCACATTCTCGCCGGGCTCGTCAGCCCCGTCCCTCGGTCACCACCGGCGCAGCTTCCACGGAACAGGGACACAGCCGTGCCCTGCCGAGCCCGCGATCGCCGACATCCCCACTGCGATAAAGGCAGCAGGGCAGAGTGCCCAGCCCCGCCGTAGCCCCTGCGCAGCTCATGCAAGCATCGCCAGTGATTGCGGTGCTCCTGTGTCAGGGTTTGAGGGCTAAAGAGAAGAAGCGATGCAGGAAGGGAATTTCCCTTCCAATTCACCCTCCAACAGAAAGGGGAGCAATAGGAATGCTCATGAGGAGTCCTCTTAGGATCGTGTTTTAAGGGGACAGAGTTCTCTTCCTGAGCAGGTCTGCTGGGGGCACTGAGGGAGAGGAGCAGTTTCAGGGGGGGGCTTTCCCTTCCTGTAGGTTTCGTGCTGAGTCGCTGCCTATGGGCACGCCAGCCCAGGCTGCTGCCCTGCGCCAGAAAGCACATGGATTGCAGGTAGAAAGAATTGGGTTTTCTTTCATTGTTACATATAGGTACAGGTATAGGTATAGAGCAGATAGAGAGCAGGGAACAGAGAGACAGCGGTTAGATATAGATACATACAGATGATATATAGACAAATATATAGGTGTATAGATACAAATATAGAATCATAGAATAGTTAGGGTTGGAAAGGACCTTAAGATCCAGATCTATACTAGCTATGGATATAGATATATAGCTATAGATTCAGACCTATACTAGATCTGGATATAGATATCAATCTTACTGAAAGCTTAAGGCCACTGCTCGAACTCTGTGTAAGAACACAGCAACATCCATGTGATCACAGGGCGCATCACTGAGCTCCTTCCCGATCACAAACTCCCTTCGCAGTGTCCATGGCCTCCCAGGTCCTCCTGAGGCACAGCTGCTTCCTCCTCAGCACCGGCAGCTCTGGTGCAGTCGTGCAGAACTGGGGTCTGCTGAATGCAGAGCTCCCAGTGAGGGGTGGTTGGGGGGAGCTGAGGTTTGGGCCCACAGAACCCCTCAGTGTTCGGGTCAGCAGTGGCTCAGGGGAGCCGGAGGGGGCAGGGGGACTGAAGTTACCCCCAATTTGTAACTGGCAACACGTGGCAGCAATTACAAATACAGGAATTTTAACTGCTCGTTTTCAACATAAACTGATACCAAATCCTCCTGCGTCCATCGCATCCGCATAAGCGATACCAGTAACTTTCTGTTTGAAATGAGAGCGGATGGAGATGTTCCAGTGGGAAAGAATGACTGGAATTGCTTCCTAACATACCAAATAGGACATAAACCTTGTGTCAGTAAAAACCTGGGACAGGTCCCATAGCTGAGTCCGAGGATAGAGCAGCCTTACAGAGCTGGGGGCAGCAGCAGCTCTGACTCGGAGCACACGAATGTCGGTGGAGGAAGCACTCTCCATTCCCGCACAGCTCAGTTCATGCGTTCACAAGGCGAGTAAAAGCAAACAAAGACTCGCATGGAAGCTCCCAAACCAGCCCAAAGCTCTTACCTGGCCCTCCCAGCGCGCAGGGCCCGTCTGTGCTGGGCGCTGAGCTCCTCCGCAGCGCCGGGACCGCGCAGCTCCGAACTCTGCATCTCCCAGGGATGTGCAGGGTTTTAAAGAGGCCCAGCAGGGATCCGGTGGCACATTGCAAAGGCCACACGACCAGAGGCTTTACTAAGGCAGCCCCAGAGAGGGCACTGCTGGGACTGAGGAGGTGCCGGCGGTAACTGCAGCTCCAGCTGCGCTCAGGGAGTCCGAGGCTCGTTGGAGTGTTTAAATGACTCATGACAATGAAAACCAAATGGCTCAATCAGTGCAGGCTGCTTGCAAGCTCCTCGCCGCGGTGGCCCTATCAGCACCTCGTCCCCTGCGGCTCCGGGCAGTGGCCCCCCAGCTCCAGCCCTGCTTTGACCCCCCCAGTCCGGCTGCTCCTGCCCCTCGGGGCTATGTAGGACATACACAGAATTATCCATCCTTTTCCAGCTCTTCTATGGGCTGGGCACACCAGCACAGCTCGTCACAACCTGCTCTGGTGGAACCTGTCCCCGCCCATGGAACTGGATGAGCCTGAAGGTCCCTTCCAACCCAGACCATTCCGTGATTCTATGAACATGGCACTCACATGGCCTCGCCTGACACCATTTAATTCATCCTCTTCCCCTGCATCCCCCTGTGAGCCCTCCCTGACCCATTGCAAGGCACGCTTGTTTCAACAAGCTGAGTACGGGACCAGCCAGGCTCATGAGTGGTAATACAAGATGGGTCATCCCCATGTTGCCCTGTGTGTTAAGGGAAGTTGGGCGCAGCAATTCCCCCGAGGAGGGATGATAAAGGATGCTTTGGAAAGAGCAGGGCTGTGGTGCACGTGTCCCAGTAAGCAATGGGCTGGGACTGGATCTGCCCATGGCCACGTTTGGGTGTATTGAGAAACCATTCAGAGACAGTAAGAACATGAAAACAGCATCAGGCACCGAAGGAGCACATCACCTTTGTGGGGCAGGGAGAAAACAACCTCCCAGCCCCTCTACAAGACCTGTGGTATTGCTGCTTGAATTGATGCCCGAATTAATGTGTTATTGCTTCCCAGCTGGAGTCAGTGGGAATGTTTTGGAACAGCAAAGGCAGGATCAGGCTTCTTTCCCCTTCCCAGTCATCCTCCCCATCTCACAGTGTGCACACAGGTAGACAATGTGCTTGCACGGGCACTGCTGCCAGTGGGTGTGCAGACCTGACAGAGGCACAATCCCTTTTCAGGTGTGAAACCATTCCCATTCCCATTGGATGGGGCTTGGAGCAAGCTGCTCTAGTGGAAGGTGTCCCTGTCTGTGGCAGGGGTTGGAACTGGATGAGTTTTAAGGTCCCTTCCAACAGGCTGGGATTCTATGGTTCTGTGAAGGCAGTGGGGGCTTTACCTGTGGCTGGAGACCACTGAAGGGGTGAACAGCCCCTTGCTTTGCATCTTCCAAAGAGCGAGCAGTAGAAATGGGTAGCACAAACCCCTCTGCCTTGAGCACCCTGTGCATACTGGCTGTGAGCGGGTTATGGGTGAGCTCTCCCTTCACTGCAATTGGCTGTTTTCCTTCTGACTTTCTGCAAAGGCCAGGGGAAAACAAGTCCTTTGCTGCTGGTAAATGTATGGCCCTGCTGTCGGGGTTGTGCAAGGTTAACGTTTAACAGCCATGGATTTTTCATTGTGTAAGCTACTTACTTAAGCCGAAAAGGCCACATTGGACAGATCATCTGAAACAGACGAAGCTCATTTCCCAGTAGGGTGAATGCCAGTTTCTGAGTGCTGGAATGGGGTCAGTTCCTGAGAAAATTGGACTGGAAAAAAGCAGAGCTGGGATTTGCAGGAACCAGGCTCCACCACTGCAGCACCCGGGGGAGCAGAGCGTGCATCTCCTGCTGCAGAGCGCCACCAGTGCAGCCTCCTCCCACCACCCTCCTCCCCAGACCAGTGCCCTTTGCAAACCACCAGCGCTGGTCTGTTCCTTTCCTTGTGCCTGGTGCTGGTACCTGATGCTTGTGCTGTGCTCATCCTCCTGCCGCTGTTAATGCAGTCTCCATGCTGGTTCTGGAGAAGATCCACTGAGGCCAAACTGGGCAGGATCCGTGTCCTGTCCCAGCGATGCTGAGCAGAGGCACTGCCATGGATGGGAGGGTGATGCACAGGCTGGGTGGAGGTTATCACATTCTCTGCTTGGCCAGGGTGCCCACCCTGCCTTGGGAAAGGGGAGAGCACTGGGGATACGGGAATGGGCTGTGTGTGCTGGAGGAGGACTGGAGGGACAAGAGAGGGGTTTGCTCGGCCCAGCAGGGAGGTTGCTCCAGGGGAAGCAAACGAGCCGCAGCTCACAAGGGGTGCTGCCTTGGCTTGCTTTCCAGCCCACAGCATCTGTCCCTCATCCGCACCCTGTTTTATAGCCTGAGAATATCAACTATAAAACCCGACTGTCCCATATTTCTACACTGTCTGTGGATGTCCGGCCAGAAAACATCATCCGAGCTCAGAAACCCCTCCCCATGGGGATGGACTCACACAACACGAGTCAGGCACTGCCTCCCTCCCGCTGCTGGTGGTGGGAAGCCCATAAACCTGCCCCAGCCCTCAGCCCCTCCTGCAGCGCCTTTCCCAGTGCCTTGTTCTGGTTCAGATCTGGCCCCTCGCAGTTCAGCCCATTCCTGTGCCGCAGCAGCAGTTCTGTGGGTGCTTCCCACGGCACCGCAGCGCACGTTCTGTCCACTCCAGCCTCCGAGCTGAACTAACGAGTGCGGGGCAGGGCAAAAATCCCTCTGGATTTCTTTGGTCCATCAGAATCCCAGCACTCCCGAGAAATGGACCACCAGCAGCCGCACATCTTCAGATCAATCCAGCTTATTGTGTGTGCCCTGTCAGTGCTTAAAAAGGGGCCTATGAGAAAGATGGGGAGAGACTTTTCAGCAGGGGCTGCTGCAGCAGGAGGAGGGGTGATGGGTTGAAACTAAAGGATGGAGATTGAGGCTGGACGTGAGGAAGAAACTTTGTGGAGTGAGGGTGGTAAAATCCTGGCACAGGGTGCCCAGAGAAGCTGTGGCTGCCCCATCCCTGGCAGTGCTCAAGGCCAGGTTGGACACAGGGGCTTGGAGCAAGCTGCTCCAGTAGAAGGGGTCCCTGCCCGTGGCAGGGGTTGGAACTGGAGGAGCTTTAAGGTCCTTTCAATCCAAATCAGTCTGGGATCCTATTGTTCTATGAACACTACAGGAACAGATCAAGAGGTGGGCAGGGGACTGCTCCCAGAAGGGGAAGGACATCAAGTAACAAAGGATGCTTGACTGGACGCAGTGGTCCAACAATAACAGTTCTCTCTACTCCTCCTCCTCTTTTGCAGCCCTTAGTTTGCAGAGACAGGAAGAAGGAAACTGTTTGACCATTCCCTGCCATCTCCTCAGAAACAACCCAATCCTCATTTAACCGGTATTCCTGGGAAACAGTGGGTGGTGCTGGGGGAGCCAAAAATCACAAAGTTACCCCTGTTGGCGAAGTGCCTCCAATAGTTTCCAGTGTCCGTGCATTAGAAGCTGATGCCAGGGAGCACCATTTGCTGTTGCTTTTCATTTCTTTTGATTTCCCTCTGATTACAGGAGAACCGGAGATGCTGGAGATCAAAAGCAAGCAGCTGAAGTGAACAACGTCTCAACAGCTGCTGAATTCCGGTCTCTGCAATGTCACATCCTGACTAACATACAGCAGTATTTACACTAAGATACCCGTATTTCTCACTCAAGCTGCAGAAGAATTCAAAGACCCCAACACTAACCTGGAAGCAGCAAAATACCTGTGAATGCATTAGGAGACAGAGCAACAAACCTGCTTGAAATGCTGAAGAGCAGGGAACAGGATGGAGCTCTAACAGCTTTATAGAAGATCCTGCACACAGAGACGTGTCTGTATGGACACATGGGAAGTTGTATGAATTTTGGTAGTGAAACCATTACGCTAAAGCCACTATTAGAACTCCAAAGACAGATGTTCATGGAGTTGCTGAAAACTACAAGTATCCCTGGAGGTTGGTCACATTGAAGTGTTAGCTAACCCTCCCCAGGGCCATTCACACACACTCTGGTGGTTCTGTTCCCCTGCTGTGGTGAAAACCACATCAAGATGACGGGAGGTCAGCCCTGCCGCTGGCACCATCCATGTCAGAGGAGTCACCAAGCTCTCGTTCTTCTGGCCCTGCTGGTGCCCAGCTGGGCATCACTCAGTCCCGAGGGCAGCGTTAGAGCTGTGGGAACCAGGCAGGTGTGTTACAGTCTCCTCTTCGGCTCTATAATCAGGACATGAGCAGCATCAGATTCCCATTATTAATGAGGCCGAGCTAATTAAACAACAATGACACAGACATTTTGAGGTCACTGCAACATTAAACAGCAAACTTTCACTCTTGGAGGGGTTTGAACAGCGTTGAGTGGTGGCTGTAGCTGATCAATGGGTTTGAACACAGACCCCGGGACAGCAGAGCCCTGAAGAACCAGGGAGGAATTGGACTTCTTTCAGTTTTCAGAACTCTCCTCAGTCTCCAGAACAAAGAGCCTGGGAACAGCGATGCTGAGCCAGGGCTCTGTCCCTGCAGCCATCTCTGGACTGCAACCAGAGAGGGACGTTAAAAGGCTACAGCCACGGCAATGACTTAGCCCATGTAAACCAGCAGCCGCAGGCACACGATGTGCGACTGGAGTGCAAGGACACTGATGAGGCTGGAAAGGTGCCACAGCTGGAAACAGAGCTCACAGGTACCTGACAGACCCCAGAACAGATGAATAACCTCCAACCACAGCTCCAGAACCCACCCGTTCTGTCCCTCACCTCGGATGTAGCGGTTGCTGTGAACCACACAGAAGCTGACCCGTGCTCTGGCCAGATCCAACCTCGGGAGCTCTTCTGCCAGCCAGTTTCCAGACTGGATGAAGCCCATTGTGAGCATGATTCAAACGATGCTGTTCCAAATGTATGCACTGTAAGACACTGGGCAGTATTCATGCTGTGTAAGACAGGAGAGTGTTCAAATGCGTAAAGACCCTGCTACAACTGACGGTGTCTTTATCTTGATGTGTTCTCAGAGCTGTTGTCCCTGTTGGTCACAACCAAAGTCCTAACCTACCCCATCTGTCAGTGTCCTACTGCCTGGAGTAAGAGTCAATGTTTCTTCTGTTTATCACTATAAAAGATAGAATCACAGAATGCTTTGGGTGGGAAGGGACCTTCAAAGCTCATCCAGTCCAACCGCCTGCAATGGGCAGGGACATGTTCAACCAGACCAGGTTGCTCAGAACCACATCCAGCCTGGCCTGCAATGTCACCAGGGATGGAGCATCCACCACCTCTCTGGGCACCCTGTGCCAGGATTTTACCACCCTCACTCTACAAAGTCTCTTCCTCACGTCCAGCCTGACTGATGCTGGTCACTCATCTATCAAAATGGCAACACAGACACTGAGAGAACATACAACAAATCATCATCATTTACTAGGAATATAGAAAACCTGAAGTGAAATCATATTGAATAACTTGACTACATGAAAGTTATGAAACAGTCTGTATTTTATACACAGCGTATGTACACTGGTTTGGAAATGGGGTTTATCCATGCAAGTTGAATACAAAAACCTATTTACAAAAAGTAACAGTAGGAACAGTTTTCCAAAGAAACGTCTACGTTGGAAGCTCCAGCAAGGATGGAAATCCTGTAAACAGACTCCATACAGTACTGTACAAGTTGACAATCTTGGAAGCATGGGAGGAAGATGCGCTTTACAAGAACATGAGATGCAAGATGAATTAAAACACTCCATCAAGTATATACACAATGTCAGCATCTGTTTCTCCATGACCGCCCCCAGTACCTCAGAACCGCTCCTGCCCTGCACACGTTTACACCTCCATCCCCTGCTTATGGTGCATCTTCCGAGTTTTATAACCATGAGTTACAAAACATCTGACCACCACTGGCCACGATTTCCTTGTTGCAGAGGTTACACAAGAGTAGAAGTACTCGTGTTACTCCCAATGTGATCCACAAACAACCCTTCTACAGCCCCCCCCAGGGATCACAGGCCCTCATTACCTGCTGGTGCAAGGGGCAGGGATTCCCACCACTGCAGCAGTGCTTAGCATGAGGCACCCCTTGAGGAAACAGCTGGATGAACATCTGCACTTCCACGCTGAGCGATGGGAGGTCCCACACCATGACCAGATCCCCACCAACCACAGCAAACCTGGGAAGACTGCACTGCTCCACTCCTGCTTACAAAGAATCCTTGTGCTTATTTCCAGGTATTCTCTATTTCCCAATCTGCCTTCATCAAACTGTCATGAAATGTTGCCTTTACCTTATTTCATGCAAATTTGGATGAAGTGAGGAAACCCTCATCAGTGCCAAGAATTCAGTTCCAGTGACTGACTTCATGGGGTAGCTCAGTTCCAGAACTATGGAGGGAAATTCTTGTCTCACTGAAGTCACAGAATCATTTTGATTGAAAAAGACCTTTAAGAGCAGTGAGTCCAACTGTAAACCTAACGCTGCCAAAACAGAAAGCTTCCCAAAACAATCCCATTTGCTGTCGGTTTGAGCTAGCCTTCTCACTTCATATTTACCAAAACACTAAAGTAGTCTTGGAAAAAGATTTGGTTCTGGTTATTTGAAGATTAGGGTTTGAAAATGTGTACGGAAAAAGCAGATTAAACATTCTTCTCTGAAAATTTACTTGGCTATGGAACATCTGAACTAAAACCGACTGGTTATTTCATTTTTATAATCATACAATCCCAACCTGATTTGTGTTGAAGGGACCTTAAAGCTCCTCCAGCTCCAACCCCTGCCAGGGCAGCGACACCTTCTACTGGAGCAGCTTGCTCCAAGCCCCTGTGTCCAACCTGGCCTTTAACCTCTGGCAGGTTCAAGCCATTCCCCTTGCCCTGTCCCTACAGGCCCTTGTCCCAAGCCCCTCTCCAGGTTCCCTGCAGCCCCTTTAGGCACTGGAGCTGCTCTCAGGTCTCCCCTTCAGGAGCCTTCTCTTCTCCAGGCTGCCCCAGCCCAGCTCTCTCAGCCTGGCTCCAGAGCAGAGCTGTTCCTGTAACCTCTACAGGAAGGTATAACTCAATGTCTGCCTCCCTCAGCATGAAGCAGCCACAAAACATCCAATTTCTCTACTTAATCTAAAGGCTTTTCAGTGGGAAGTGATTCAATGTGACCTCAAGTCAGAGCACCCTCTCCTTAACTGTAATTTGTTTTTCCTGTTCCTGGTCTTACTGTCTTAACTCCCGTTCAGCAGCTGTGGATTTTGGGGGGTTTTGGGTGTTTGGTTTTGGTTTCCAAGTAGAGGCCACTGTTTAACATTACGTACCTCTTGAAACAAACACACACGATAGCCTGACTGCAGGAGGAAACAGAGAAGTGTGATTTACCAATACAAAATCATCTATCTGCAGAAAGTGCAGAAACTCCCAAAAGTTGTTTTTAGTTGGAATCAGCTGAATCAGTAACAAGCTTTGGTGCACAGGCAGACTGCAGCTCGATTAGGTACAACAGCTACCCTTGTACAAGCATTTAGGAAGCAGCAGAAAGAGAAGTGCCAGACCTTTGTCCTTCCATCTGAGAAGACAAACAGACATTTTCTTTAGTGAACAGATGCCTTTTCATTTTGTGTTTGAATCTGGCTACAGATTTATGTCCAAATCTAAGACAGCCACTAAGTGATACCTGAACTAAAGTTTGAGGTGCAGTACATAACTGATGGCAATCCTCACCTGCAGTGTTACTGTGGGGACACCCTCCCACAGTATGAAAGCTGTGCTTCAAAGGAATTTTTCCTACTGTCTTAATACGTATATGGCACATCAGAAAACCTGCATTAATGAATTTGTGTAGCATTTTACAGATTCCTTTGACTTACCAGAGATCACTGCTTTTAGCCAAGAGTTTGACACTAAAGCTTTGCAGTACCAGACAAATTTGAGCCATGTTTGCTGTGGTCTGCAGTTCAGGTGATCCGTAAGCCAAAAAGGTGGAATCTTTAATAACAGAATCCCAGACTGGTTTGGGTTGGAAAGGACCTTAAAGCTCATCCAGCTCCAACCCCTGCCATGGGCACGGACCCCTTCCACTGGAGCAGCTTGCTCCAAGCCCCTGTGTCCAACCTGGCCTTCACCACTGCCAGGGATGGGGCAGGCACAGCTTCTCTGGGCACCCTGTGCCAGTAAAGAATTTCTTCCTTATATCTAACCTGAACTTCCCCTGTTTCAGTTTGAACCCATCACCCCTTGTCCTATTGCTACAGTCCCTGATGAAGAATCCCTCTCCAGCATCCCTGTAGCCCTCTTCAGACACTGGGGGCTGCTCTGAGGTCTCCACGCAGCTTCTGTTCTCGAGGCTCAATAGCCTCAATTTTCTCAGCCTTCACAGGGGAGGAGCTCCAGCCCTGATCGTCCTCACGGCCTCCCCTGGACTCCTTTACTGAAAGAGTTCTTTACTCAAGGCCATCTTTGAGACCCTTCTTTCCTCCTTCTTTACTGAAGTTAAGAGCAGGACATGCCTTGGCTTTGGTGAAGCTCAGATTTTACCCAGACACTCTTATGATTCATGTCCTTATTATATCAACTGTTTCCTCCATATTTTATGATCATTTTAGTTTTTTGGAAGGCCTCTAGGCGTAGATGGCTTTCTGCATCACCAGCAGTGCCCCAGCTCACACGCTGCATTAGCAGTGTTGCAGATGTGAAGCACTTCTGAGATACTGTGTGAGAGGCAACCACACTTTATCGTGGTTATTTTAATGTCACTGCTTTAAGACCTCACAATATCTGGGGCATTATTGCTTAAATGAAAGATCTTTCATGTGTAACACATACTGCACCTAGCGACACAGAGAAACGGAACACATACACAAGACCAGGGGCCCTGTCAGTATGTTGATTCACTCTGTAATTTATACTTCAGACCACATGACTGCAGCAACTTTGTACAGCATTCACAATAAGAAAGCACCCTAGTTACCTCTTATTAGGAAAACTTAATGCAGCTTCCTGAAGTTTTTCATTGTGACTTCTCTTCACATCCTAAGTAAAAACTGAGTAATTACAATAGGAAGGGGGGCAGGCCTCTCTTTTTAACCATCCCATCAGCTGTACCAAGCATTCATTAATGCCACTACATCCCAAACAGAATGGGAAAAGGGTATCTCAAACATACTGTTTGGAGCAGGGATTCTGGAATCACAGTAGCTCACCAATGACACTGGAGAAGTTTCTTAGAGTCAAGAGAAAGGAGGAGTATGTTTCAATGACCAATGTGAAGTCACTAGATCTGTGAACAAACAATGAGAAGATGCTGGGAATCAAATGGAAAGGGAGAAAAGGGCAAACTCTTGTGCAGGAAAAGACACCAACAAACTTGTATTACAAAACTTAAGTATCTTTTTTTCACAGTTGCTCCTAAAAATCACAATGGGAACAGCCAATTTCTGCAAGGCTTTAGATTATTAACTGTAACAGCAGCTAAAGGAAGCGGAGAAAAGACTTGTCCAGGCACAGCGGACCTTTTCTCAACATTGCTCTGAAAGATACTTGAAGGCCTTCATCTTTGTCATGCTAAAAAGGAAGCCCAGGAAGAATCATGATTATCCTTCCCTGTAAGCATGAAGAAGGCCATCATAATTTCCAAGGAATGGCAAAGTGAGACTGCTTCTAATTTGTGGGAAGAACTCCAGAGTACTGAAGAAAAACTTTAGTAGTTTTCAGCTTCAGAGGTACAAGTCAAAGTAAATCCATTAATTTCACATCCAGTTTTCAAGTTACTTAGGAAATAAGCTAAGCTTAAAAAACCCCACAACCCAAGACCAAACTGGTCAGCATCTGGCACATGACATCAAGGGCATTCTTAATGTTTACACTGAGATGGAACTTTATCAATTTAGTTTGAGTAGCGAAAAAAAAAGTTCCTTTAAGATCAAAAAAACATTAAAATATACAAGGAAATAGGTCAGTTTAAGGCAGGTTAACTGAAAGTGACCATTTATAGTTAACAATACTATGGCTAATGTACTGAAAGAGAACGTGGTGGGTGTTGTCAATACCACAGCAAGGAACTGAACGACAATAACTTATTCTTTTGAATGGTTGTGTTCTTCAAAAGCAGCAGACAAGCATTTGGCGTAATGAATTATAGTACTTATTCGAGTCTTAGTGTGACTTTCCAGGGAAGTGCCTTTAGCGGAATGGGGACTGAAGGTGTTAAAACGAGGCTAATGTGGATGATTTACAAACCCATTAGAGGGGTTTGAAATCCCACATTTCAAAGGTCAAAGCAATCCAGTTTCCTTAAACAAGTATTCCTGTAACCTAGGATTTCTTTTGAGGGGTTTGCTGTTTTACACCAGCCTCTCCAGGAGCCTCACTGTAAGAAACCATCTATACAACAGGGGGTTTTAACTATTACACATCGATCAGCTTGTTTCAAGGGGTTTAAAAAGAATCTATCTTTTAAACAAAATCTTGTCAGCAGAAGGTTATTTTTCCTCTCAATTACTGATTTTAAGGACTGTAAATAAGTGAAGAGTAAACAATACCTCTCCCTCATTCCTTTATGAATTATAATAGATGGGGCCTTGATTAACTGGAAAGAACAGAATCAAATCTTTTTACCTGCTTCGCAAATGTATCCCTCAATCAAAATGAACTTAGCCTGAAACAGAAACTCTGTGGCAGTTTTCAGTGGAGCTACCTATTCATGAAGAACAGGCTAACACAAACAGATTTATTACTAAATTATGAGCAACTCTTTTGGAGAACAACTCAACTGTGCATGGTTTCAGGATGTGCCCAACACACTGAGACCTGGTGCAGAAGCAAACAAATAGATAAACTTAGAGAAGCCTCAAAAATCCACCACAGTGGAATGTGTTCTTTTCCCCATTCATCCAGAAAAGTCTACTGGTCTAATGTCTCAGCACAGTGACGTATACAAACCGATCTGTGTGCTAGGCCACACTTGTGTAAGTTACATAATAAATCCTGTAAACGCTGAAAAGAGAAACACTGATATTTCCCAACTAAACTATGGATAAATCTGTTGTAAAAATGTAACACGAGCTCAGGAGCAACATTACACAAAATCCTGAACGTCACAGCAGGAACCTGAGATTTTGGCAGTTTTATCAAAATGTCCTAAGTTACTCGGTGTGCATCACTAGTCCTCACCTCTTACTCACCGCGTGTATCTGTGTGTCCTAAAGAAAAGTAGACAACTTGTTCTTGTCCAACAATACATTAACCCAAAAGTGATCAGGTATTATCAAATTAAATATCATAAATAAAAAGTATTTACAGTATCTTCTAATTATTAGACAACAAAATAACCAATTCAATTGTGCAACAAACTTAAAAACACCCAACATCAAAAGTGTGAAGCATTACTTAAATCTTCACGTACTGATTTTACAAAAAACTAGTAAAATATTTAAAAATTTCCATTTCATCTATTTTAAACAAAGAAATTGCAAAAATGTTTCTGACTATTCCGAGTTCTCAATTACACAGGCACTTCACATGTAAACAATCTACAGTACAACTGAAAAAAAGTATTTGGCACCAACCTAGAAGACTGGAATAAACTCAATAAAATGTGTCCTTTTCCCATTGGATACTGCTTTGTGTAATCACCAGACACTTAGACTAAATACTGGCAATGTTAGAAGTGTCTAAGTTACAATGAGGAGTGCAAAAAATAAGGAACACAAAGATGAAGCTTTCTGAGGGAGTGGAACTGGGTTACAAGTGATCAGCCGCTCGCATTTC